AATATAATAACAAACATTATTTTAAATTAACTAAGATTTTAATAGTTTCAATTAATTCTCAACATTTTTTAGTTGAACTATTGATTATTATGTATCTCTCCGCAAAAAGATAATTTAATTGCACAACCATGTTGATACTTGTACATAAATTTTTCCTCATATAATTTAATTTACGTTCTTGTCGTTTCTAGCTTGTTATCCATTTCTCTCTCTCTTTTACCGCATTTGACCTGCATCACTTTAGCAACAGCATGCACGTCACATTCATGTCTGCTTTGTTTGGAACTGCATTGATATTAATTGCCTTTTGAATTCTTTTTATAGGTTTAATCTTTTTAATTTATTTCATATACGATTTTTTAAAAAATAACAGAACAAAAAAGGTAAATATAGTTTTCTAAGTAAAATATTTATTATTTTAATGTATGTCTAATAATACGCAATTAAAAATTAATAAATAATAAACTTTTATTAAAATATAACATTTAATAATATCAATACTTATATACTTTATTAAAACTAAATTTTATTATATACTCTTGAATAAACATTAAAACAATAAATAAAATGCAATAAATATTAGTTGTAGGAGAGTTCAGTCTAATTACCCGTTCTTTAGTTCCTTTTATAAATAATTTATTTATTAATTAATCTAAGTTAATAAAAAATGATTATGTATCATACATAAATTTATGCTATATTAAAAAATATGTATACATTTAATAAAAAATTGGTAACATAAAATAACATATAAATATTTTATTAACACAAATCTCATAAGTGAATAAAAAATTTTAACAGTTAATATATTAAAATAATGTTTTTAATCTATATAATATTACAAGTAACAAAAAATAATATATAGTAAATTTTTTATTAAAGATTATAAAATTAAAGATTTATTAAATATGTTTGTTTATAAAAATGATCACACTTAAACTTTTTATCATATACATAATTTTTCACATATTAAAAAATTACCTCTTATAAATAAAAAAATTCTGATAATTATATTTTATAAAAAGTCAGAGAAAGTGCTAATAATTAAAAATACACCTTTCTGCCACCGCTGCAGAGCTGCGAGAGTTTCAAAGACAGACAGAAAAGAAAATCAACAGAGGAGAAAAGGGTTTGAGTTGACTGAGATTTATGTTGACGATTGGATTCTGTCCCACATGCCCTACTTTCATGACGTACGAGTAAGAAATCTGGTGCCTGATTAGGTTTCAACACCCACTTCTTCTGCTTGTGCCAAAAAACTAATAAATACATACAAATTTTGTTTCTCTTACTCTTTCAAATTCCTACGCATAAGAGAGAGAAAGAGAAACACCCAAAGTCCAAACACCTCCCGTTGCGTGGGCTGCTAGGCAACTCGCCGATACTTTTCACATTGTTTCAAAATATATTTATTTAAATACATCATTTCTTTTTACTCCTACTAAAACAGACCAATTCTGTTTAATAATATACTAAAAATAAAGAGAAAAAAGATTAATTTTAAAATAATAAAATAAAAACAAAATATTATAATTGTTCTGCCTAAGAAAATAGTATCAATTCTAGAACAGCTGGTACTGCATATTTAGCAGATAACACTCATTCTTCGATGATTATGCTGATAAGTCGACAAGTAACTTGTAGCTTTGTTTGGTTGTTTTGCTCCTTTTGATTTTTAGTTGTTTATATACGAAATTATGCAGGGATCAGACATGTTTCCCTATATTTCAAACCATACGATTGACAACTCAGTGACAGTCACCGCCATCCGCAAAAACATTTAGGCAACACAACGTTTCCGCAAACACTTTCATTCATCTTTAGTTATTTTTGTTTGCCCTTCTTTTTTGCCGTCACATCACATTTAGACCGATAGGTTATATATATTTGTTAAAGAGGTTAAATAGAGCAGACAAAATAAAATAAAAATAAGAAATACATAGAAAAAAATATATTGGAGTAAATTGAAGTAATAGAAAAATTACTATTTAACATCCAATATTTTATCAAGCCACTTAGTTATCATCCTTAAATTACATCGACAACTAACACAAAAAGAAAAATAGAAATTAGATACTTTTACAAACTCTTAATTCATACACGTGTTTATATGAATTGATTAAAAAGAGAGTTACAGCGGAGACATGATATTTTTGTTAAAATGTTTTACATAAATTAAAAATGTAAGATTTGTAGGCTAATCTATTTCTAATAATATTATCTGATGACTCATAAGGAAAAACTGTAAGTATAAAATTGTAAAAATATAATTATTCTCAAAAGAATTGCTGGCCATGTAATTAAGTAAGCTCTTCTTTTGGTTTTAATCAACTCCAGTGACCAACGGGCGCACGTATTGATGGTACGATGGTAACGTGCTTCTGTGGTACAGATAGTTATATGTTTTGCACTGGTGAATAGAGTTCTTTCTTGGTTGTTTTCTAAAGCCTGAAGCATGAAATGTTGTGACTTTTCGGCAGACTCAAGGCCATGAGAGGATCATGGAGAAGTTTCCTTGAAAAGCAGCAATATAAAAATTAGCAGGGTATATGTCACCCATTTGGATCGAACAACGGCACTAGCTAGTCTGAAACTTAAGACCTCAATTTGTACGATCTAATTTCTCTATAGTAAGTAATGGTATAAAGAAAAAAAGAAAAGATGCATTTACGTTGTTTTGAAAAAAAATCTGATAGACTTAATTGGTTTTAACGATGAATGCCGCTTATTTTCTCTATCTTAGGTATATGTTGAGGAGGCAAAACCATCTTCAGATTCAAAATTTTACTGCTTTGTTCAGCTAGATATTTTCAATGTATAACAATCAACTGTAAATCTATTGCATGTCCGTGTCCCCAAGATGTGTTAGCGGATTTTCAACCATGGCAGCGTTTTTCCGCACAGCTAGCTTTATGAATTAAAGCCACAAAAGTCTTCTGAATAGCTCATAACTTGCTGACATTTACTTGCTTTTAAACTCATTACAACTTGCATGTTCTAGACGACACATATGCCGAACATCATGTTGACTCCGTGCATGCCCGTTCCTTTATTTTGTTTTGAATCTGCCCGGTTGTCATGAATCCTACTCGTGAATGTTGTACGAATTGCGCTGGACTACGAAGCAAAACCAACACAGATTCAAGTTGCTACCTCAATTGAATTTCTGCTTTCACACTAAATATGCAAACATTTACAATTAATCTTTTACGATCTAGTACATCGGAACATACACGCCAACAACTCAGACTCCTAATATTAAATTTTTATTTATTTATTTATTTTTAAAAGATTAACATATTTACTGATCCAAGGCAATTCGACCCAAAAAATGCTAATTCAAATGAGTTAAAAATCAGACTTAAATGGATTAGCATTTTAATTTTTCACTTTTAAAAAAGTCAATTGATAAATTCATATTTTGACACATTTTATGACTTATATTTATATACTTAAACTTTATTTTATATATATTTATACTAATTATGTTATTAATTATTGCAGTTTAGTTAGAAGTTGTTATTAATGCATCATAGAGATATTTTGAAAAAAAAATAAATACTTTTAGTCCTTGTTGTGCTATGTGAATTTAAATTTAAAATTAAAACTTAAATAAAGATTTATAGCAGTTTTCAGTTAAGATTCTAATTGTAGATAAAACTTATTTGAAAAGATAGAGTTCAACCAATTGAAAACTCAAAGTACAGTCTATATAAAGAGGTCTTATGCTCTACACTTGACACTTCTACTTCTTTACATACATTCTTCCCTTTCTTAATTCTACCCAAATTCATCTTTGAGAGTTATTAGAGACCATTAATAAGGACAACAAGCTTTCCCTTAGGGTCTAAGCAAGTGATTGAGCGTCCCTTCGGAGAACGAGAACTCTTTTCATCTTTTACCTTTCTAGGTTTTTTTTGTTTGAGTTTTCTTTTGTAGTTATTAGTTTATTTATCACGTTCTTCGTAGTTTATTTTATTATGAGTAACTAAACCCATATTTAGGGTTATGGCAGATCTTACTACAAACTTTATGTAATTTTTACTTTAATGTTGATATTGGTTTTCTTTTAATGTTTAGTTTTATTCTATTAGATTATATTGTGTATGTTAAGATTTGATTACCCTTAGCATTACATAGTTAGTTACATTGTAAACGATCTTAACACATGTAATTAACGGAACTATAGGATAAATCGAGATAAATGGGTTAGGTTAATTACACTTAATTTCTTTTTTTTCAGCCATTATTGAATTAACAAACTCATAGAATCTCTATGCTTTCTCGACCAATTACCTTGCATAATCATTGGAGGTGTTTGCTCAAGGAAAATAATATTGATATTACATAATCATTGGGTGTTAATAGAACTAATTATAAGTGATTGATAAATATTTGAATACCAATATCAAGATTAAATTAATTAGAATATAAAGAAATATAGTAGGTGAACTCATAAGTCTTAAACTCATCTTATTTGATTTCTCTCATATATTTTATTACTGTTCTTTTAATTTATTATTAAAATTAAACTTTATTTTTGATCCGCTACAATTCCGTTACGTTTAAACAATCAAATTAAATTATTTTTAATACTTGAAAATAATCTCTCTGAAACGATAACTTAGAAACTCTTAATTCAAAATTTCTTTATTATTTTTTGATAGATACACTTACCTACTAACATCAATAAATGTGAGTAGTCTCCAAAATAGTTGCTACTTATACCGTCAATTAAATTTTATTTTTACAAACGGATTGCAATGTAGACAAGTCTTTTAGATAACAAGAAATTGTTTCGAAAATCTTTTATTATTCTATTTTCAAAAAATGTATTAGTCTGCAGAATAATGCATCCATTTAATTTTTTGGAAGGGGATTCAACTTGGGTACAGATTTTCTAATGGGTGGGGACTGCAGATGATAATTGAGGCATGAGCCTCGTCCACGAATAATGCTTCCAATCCAATTGGCTTGATTTTCTTTAGAGTTGATTCTGGTCCATACTTATAGCCATCATCATAAGCCCATGTTCCGACTCAAGTGGGCCGTATGCTGTTATCTCTCATTCACTTTATGTTTTTTGCATTTGAATTGCGGGACTTCTTGACCACAAAAATTTGCAGGGTCTTAACTGCATATTTATATATTGTTAAGAAAAATGAAAGTTTTAAATTTCAATTCATGTAGCACCCAAGTCCTTAAGTGCATGATTAGATTAGTATATTTTAAATTTCATTAAAAAAAATATGGTGCTGAAACATCAAACGTGCACCAAGGCATAGGGCAGTACCTCGATTTAAAGACGAGGCATCTCATACCTTTGATGTATATGCAATCATAGTTTATGCTACGTTGATGCACATGCAACTAAGTCGAAATGGTAACAAAATTGGGTAATTCTCTATTCTCTCCATATAATATGTGCGCGGCTTCAGAATGCATAAAGCTATAAAACAAACAAAGGCATAATTAGGAATAAAGATATCAAAGGTGAATAAAAGCAAAAGGAGCTTGTATAAAGCAACACTAGCAGATATTATTCTGTCTTACTCTTTCTTCGAGGTTAATTTCTTGACTGCTTTTGGTTCAGAAACCATCTAGTTGTTCTTCATGCTATCATCTCTGATGGAACCGAAGTTTTTTGTAATTATTCAACTCATCCACTCGTTCTTCATCCTCACAAGAGCTCAATCCAACCTTTGCAGAACTTCTTGTGGTGGCATTCCCATCGAATACCCTTTTGGCATTGACGATGGTTGTGGAAGTCCATATTACCGATACATTCTGGCATGTTCTGACTCAGGAAAGCTTGAAGTCAGAACCCCTTCGGGGAGATACCCAGTTCATAACGTTAGCTATGCTGATCCACACATTCTAGTCACTGATCCATTCATGTGGAACTGTGAAGATGGCGAGAATTATCGTCCCACAAGGCCATTCAGTTTAGATACCAGCACACGCTTCAAACTTTCCCCTCAAAATGAGTACATCTTCTTCAATTGCAGTGAGGATCATGTGATCGTTAAGCCAAAGCCCATCTTCTGTGAGCGCTTCCCCGAACACTGTGATTCATCATGTGACAGTGGTAGCTATTTGTGCAGGCACATGCCAGGGTGTTCCTTTGCTATGAGTGGTAGCTCTTGCTGCTCTTACTATCCAAAAGCCACTGAATCGTTGAGGTTGATGCTCAAGTATTGCACAAGTTATACAAGTGTTTATTGGAAAAACATTGGTGCTCCTCAGCCTTATGATCAAGTCCCTGAATATGGGATCAGAATTGATTTTGATATCCCCGTAACTACACGCTGCCTTCAGTGCCAGGATCCCTCCAAAGGAGGTGGAACTTGTGGATTTGACACCCATACTCAGAGTTTCATTTGCCTGTGCAAGGAAGGAAATTTCACTACCCATTGTAAAGGTATGTATAACCAATTAAATTTTGTGGATGGGCTTTTGGAAATAATTGGATATTGTCTGTTTGGCAGATTATAATACTGCACAGCACAAGAAGAGGGTCCATGTAATTGCAGGTGATAAAAATAAAGTTAATGGACTAACATTCTATGGGGCAAAAGTTTTTGAAGCGGAAAATTGAGCTCATGTTTATGGTTTTGGGTGTTCGGGTTTTGGCTGCAGGGACAGTTACTGCTATTTCGGCTGCAGGGGCATTTGGAATTGGAGCTGGTATTTGTTACTTGAAGAAAGTGAGAACTAAAGCACCCGTAACATGCGGGGTTCAAAGCAACGATAACAGATTTTTCTGAAGAAGACCAAATAATGCGCGCCACAAAAATACATATTCCTTTTGTTGATTAAGTTTATTTATTTATACAATTATATAGGCCTCTTAGTACTAAGAGAGTTGCTTCTTCATTGGCACTTTTATGTGATGTTGGGTTGTATTTTATCTTTTAAATTTATTGGAAGAAAGCAATCTGCGGCAGAACCATCTTTGGTACTTTTTTGAACAATAACATTTGATTTCCTTAAGTAATACTAATGTGCCAAGTTACAAACTAGATTTCTGCAATGCAATAATTCTTTATATACGCCTCCAAAACAGGCTTTCGGGAATCAACCAAAAAAAGAGAGAAAAAAAAAAAGAGTAAAGGAGATGAAAGAGAAACAGAAATTAATTGCAATACTAAAGCGTACTAACATGCTATCCCAACAATACAACTGGTGGGACCTTCATTGAGAGTTATTGCAGGCACCATGTATGCTGGAGCAGCAGTAAAAGATTGAGCAGGTGAATAGTTTGGAGCACAACTTCCATACCCAGATGGCACAAAATAAGCACCATTTAGGAATAAATCCTTAGAGGACCTCCATTTCCAACTATGCCAGTTTTCCTTCTTTTCCCTCTTGGTAACCTGTCATCCAAGAACAACACTCAGTGTCTTGATGCATTGTATATGTATTGGGAGGGGGAGGGGATTTTATGCTACTGAGTTTCGACCTGTTTAGCATTTTGGTCATCCGGTGCTATATACAAATTTCCTTCACTTAAAATGGTTGGGTTAGCACTGCCGCCCACAGCATACATTTTCCATTCATCATATCTGTTGTTGACAACATGAGCATAACCAAATCTTACCCTGCATGTGCATTGTCAAGTCAATACATTATTTATTTTCATTCACACTTTGCAAATTCAATTCATAGAATATAACTCCAACCTTGGCATCCTTTCAGTTAGGCCACTAGCAAACCGGTTGAAGGCTATTGTTACTCTCATTATTTTATCTGCTGTGTATTGGTCATTATGTCCTAGCAACATAACCTGCAGGCACGTTAGCTCAATCAGATATCCTTCAAACTCGCAAAATGAAGGAACTTTGATGTGTGTGGAGAGAGGAGATCAGCAGCAAAGTGATGATTCGACTCGTTCAAAAGAAAAATGTGCATAGAAAATGTCATATATTAACACAAAATTATTCTTTACTAAAATAACTTTTATTTGATAAAAATTAACTAAAGGTATAAACATCGGAAGTTTATATTCACACTAACATGTATTATAATAACACATTGTTTTATTGATATAAAAACTTGATATATACTATTAATACATCAAATATTAATAAAGTATGTCAGATTATTAGAATAGATTAACAATATTTGTATTGATAGTTTAATTTTCATTAAACAAAGGTTATATATACTAATAAAAATAATTTTAAAAATTAACATTTTTTTGTCCATTAGTAAATGACATGTTTTAGCAAAAGTTAAAGGTATGGAGTAGTTAATTATTGTTCATTGAAAATAAATTGTTAAAATTAATTTGGATAAAAATACATGTATATAAAGACAATCTCAATTACAACTTCAAACTTTATTCTTTAAATTGTACTTCTAATTTTAGAAAAGTCATTATGTTATTCGTCTCATTTATTAGTCAATGCAACATATATATAATTATAAACAGAAGTCCCATTTATTATAATATAAAAGGTTACCGTAAAGGAGGAAACGAAGAGGGAAGAACAGCTAGCTTGTTGAACTTACTTTGTCATGCTGGGTAAAGTAATTATTGGAAATGGTAATGGCAGTTGAGGCATGAATAATATCAATTAGGCCATCGGTGGAACGAGCCAAATAGCAATGATCAATCCAAATATTTGAGGAAGAAAATATACTAATGGCATCTCCATCAGAGCCTTGACGATGGCCAACATGTTCAGCAGTACTTCTCACAAGACCAGCCTTACCCGGTTCACAATCATGGAGGCTAATCCCATGTATAATAACATGGCTAACCCCTTGTATTGTAATGCAAGGCCCACCCATAATCTCCACTTTAGCTCCTCTCCCATCAATGGTCTTGTAGCTATTCATTATAAGCTCATTCTCGAGTGTAATAACCATGTCTTTGTCAAAAATGATCCATAAGGGCTCTGTTTGGATTACACCATAACGAAGTGTGCCTGGCTTCGGGTTTGTAGGGTCATCAGAGGGATCTTTGACAAGATATATTGCACCATATTTGCCTCCTATGGCATCTTTTCCAAAGCCAATTGCACAATCAGCCAAGGCTCGACGATTTGAAGCCCAATTTGGTTTGGCCCGCCAGCAAGAGTCTATCTCATTGAGGAATGGTTTCTTAGGACTCTTAGGGATATACTTAGTTGTTGAGACGGATTGAAGAGTGTTGTTGTACTTCTTTGTTGAATGGACAATAACCAAGCATGAAGCAAGGTGTAGTATGAAACATGAAAGCAAGAGGAAAGGGGTTGATGTGGCCATGCTTAATTGAAATTGTGAGGTTAAGGCAACAAAGGGAATGAACTCATTTAATAGGTGGGAAGAAGGTTGAGCACACAAGTTTGGAGCTTGCCTTACAAATACTTTTTCGGGTTTAGTTAACTTAAACGTGGCTGCACGAGCTTTGGCTTGGTTGACTTGCTAATTATAATCTTAACTTTTACTCTAGAGACGAAGGCTATATATTTAATAACTTATTAATTTATAATATGATTGTTTGATGGACATGCAAAGTTCAACTGTTCACAACAGAATGATCCTCATAAATCTTATATTTGGACGGCTTTATAGTATAACAATCACGTTTTGTTAAAGTCATTGCCAGGGATTCAATATAACTGCTAAAAAATTTAAGTCAAAAACTAAGTCTTGTCGTTAAATTTAGTTCTAAATTTATGTTATCGGGTTACAAGTATGACTGAATATATTGTCAACGTTGCAGGCATTTGTAAGATTGAATTAATATGCGTGAAAATATTTATATCTTGAAAAAAATAAGTGACAAAAGGTATATATTAAATTAATATATAGAATGCATATACTAAATTGTAAGGTTTTAATTGATTCAACTTTTTCTAATATTTCTAGTAGTACCCATAATGCGAAAGTTATGTGGACGTTAAGTTCCTAATACTTAACTTACAGCGTTAAATACTTATAATAAGATATAAGTAATAAATCATTTAATATTTCTAAATAATTAATTTTAAGTCTTATATTTAAAATAAATTACATCAATTATACGACGTTATTGAATTTTGTTAAAACAATTCTCAAACCTTTTATAACAGTCTTTTATTAATTTTTTATTTACTAAATATAAAAAGTATTCAATAATTTAATATTTTTAAAATATTAAATGTATTTATTGTTTTTTATTATTTTTTGTGAAATATTGAGATAAAAACAATATAGTATTATATATATATAACGGAAGAAAGTTATATGAGAGAGGGCAATTCAATTATGCTTATTTACATAAATATGTTATTGACATTGTTACATAATTGAAAATGTAAGAAAATTCATAATTTGAAGTATAAAATTAAATCAGCATCTTGCAGTAGTAAAAATTTCAATAATTTTCACAAAAGTTACTTACATTTATGAGATTCCAATTCCCAAGTGATAAAGAGAATATGGAGCAAATTAAACTGTAAAAAGATAAAGTTTATTAATTTTCCATAAACAACGAATTACAAATTATGCTTAATGTGTAAGGACAAGAAAATATTATATGCATTTTGCAACATTATTAATTACACCAAGTTACCAGCTGATGCAAACTAAATTATAAAAGAACACTAGCAGAACTCATCAATGGTGATGGCTGCTTTATTGATGACATTAAATAGTTATTGATTGATATAATGCTCGTCCATATATGAATCCTAAGCATAGCTGCACATCCCATAGATACATGAACTTTCTGCGTTGCACTTGTTGCCACATTTCCCGCAGTGCTTCTCGTTAGTCCGAGGATTCACGCACTTACCTTGGCAGCATATCTTTCCATAGCTGCATTTCTTTCCACATTTGCCACAGTTGGAGCCATCTGTGGACAAGTTCACACATTTGTTCTTGCAGCAATCAGATCCTGCGCTACCTTTAATATGGCATACGTTAGGGTCTTTGTCACATGTCAGCACAACTCGCTCATTCTTTTGAGAAAGGAAGCGGTTTCTCCCTTTTGGTTCTTCATCACTTGCTGAAAGAGAAATCACCAAAGCCATTAGCATGGCCAGAAGGAAAAGGGTCTTGAAGGGCTTCATTTTTTTGTGTTGACCAAAAGATGTCAGATATGAGTATTGTATGTTTTGATTGATGAGATATACAAAGATGGTACAAAGTATTTATAGACGAGTAGGTTCATGGATTTGGTATTATATTTTGCATTCATGAGCTAATGTCCTACTACGTATTGATTATTGATCTAAATTTGTTAGGCTTGTTTGCAACAATTCAAAGGCTTCAAAACTTCGTACGAACAAATCAATTGAAACTTTGGAATACATACAAATCTATATTCTGATAAAATGCTAATTAAAGGATAAAGATTAAAGTTAGTTAGCTTAATTATAAGTTGACCAGAAATCTGCTGTCCGTAGCTCATTCAAAAACCAAAGTATAATTCTACGTAAACCAAAAAACCGTTCCAGAACCACCGTTCGGTTCCAGTAGCCATATAATTTGACTATTAGATTATTTTCAGGGTTTGCTCCACTCAGCAAATGACCGAATATACTCCTTCCATATTTTAGATGTGATCTAATAAATTATTATGATAAAAGAAATTAATTTATTAAAATAACTTTATTTTAAATAAGTAAACAAATGATCTCGTTAAGGGTGCCAAAGTTACTGTAGTAGTTAGTTAATAAGAATCCCACTCTTAGAATTTATTATAATAGTTAGTTGGAAAAAATTATATTTAATAAATAAAAACTTTATTGACAAAATTAATATTTTATTAATATTCTAAAGTAATAAATAATTTAACATAAATAAAAGTGTTATGAAAAGTAGATCTTTATTCTTATAATTAAGACTAAAAAGTATTGATAGCTACTCCCTCTCGTGTTTTTTATAAAACACTTTCTAAATTATTTTACTAGTTCTTATTATAAGCATTTATTAGATTTTTTTTTAGGTTTTGTTTTTGTTTGTCCTTGTTAAATAGAGTTGATAAAAACCTTTATTAAAATCAATTTCCTCTAATGTTATTAAGTAGGATGACATGATCATGTTAGACAGAGAACAATATAATTTCTTTTTATAATTGGTGAAACTTACAATTAGTGTCCTTGTTTGATAAAAAAAAAAAAAAAAAGTACCTTCCTTTCTCTAATGTGATCGTATTCATCATGTTACTTATCCAGATAAGAAGATACATATCCAATTAAACCAACAAAGATACATGTAAAAAATAAGTTAGATTCAATTATATTAAATAAAGATAAAATTGGTATGTTATAATTTTTAAAAAATAAATTAATATTGAACTTTTTTATTAGTTAGTATAAGTTAATTAAATATTCCTTCCAAAAAAATTAAAAAAATAATTTTTATAAAAAAGATTGGAGTATTATAATTTCATATTTTGGCAAAATTTATTATATTAATGCCTTTATTTAATTCTCAAATGTATAAATCATGAAATACATATACTCAAGACATTATTAAACACTAAATGTAGATGTATCGCTTTAGTAGGAATTCACAACTGTAAATCAGTACTTTATGAATGATTAACATAGTTTAAATCACAAATGTTTTTCACGGGAAGTAATTTTTTTTTTAACTATAGAATATATTCACCATGGTGGAGCTTGCTTCTAAGTGATTTTTTTCATACACAAAATTTAAATTTGAGATTTTGCTTTAAAAAAATTCAAACATATATCACTTGAACTAACTCCCATTAATTAAATAATAATAATAATAATTTATATTGAGTTAAATATTCAATTTTTCTTTTCATTGTAATATATTCGTTTCTTTATTAAAGTTTATCAAAGTCATCTTTAAGTATTATACATATGTTATGGGTACGTATATTGGTTAAAAAAATAAAAACATAAATTTTAAATAAAAGTACTTATTATATTACAAGTAAAAAAAATAATATTTAATTTTTAAAATAATTAAATTATTTAATAAAGTATATTGCTGCTCTAACGCGTTGCTCTTATAATATTTTTCAATATATTTTAATTATTATGTAAATAATTTTAATTCTCTGTATTTCATTCTCCCAATAAGTTCCTCATTTACTGTATGAAGAAAATATTAAATATTTTTTTAAATATTAATTTATTTACGTTTTGATCTTTTTATAAAGTAAATATTATTAAAAAGATGTTGTACGAAGATATAGCGTTACTCTTATTATATTTTTTTCTCTTTATCAATGGCTTGTAAATTAATAGTATTTGGTGTGGTTTGCATGCGCAACCATGTGACACCAAGGAAATTAAAATGAACCAGGTTTTAAATTTTGATATAAGAATAAAAATGTATTTATATAATTTTTTTTTTATACAATGAAAAGAGAGATAGAAAAAGATAGGTGAGAAATGTACGATAAAATTATTGATGTTATGAAAAGAAATAAAAATAGAATAGTAATGTATAAAACTGTATGAATAACATAACTCTTTTACGACCACTAAATTTCATATATATTGGTGAGAAATGTTTGGGCAAACTGTTGCCGAAATTGTGTGATGCTTGATCAGGAGTGTAAACGTAAGAGAGGAATGGAATAATATTTGACTATGTATTTCTTTTTATTCCATTTAGTTTGATAAGGAAAGCACAGATTCTCAGAAACCCAACATCAGTTATTAGAAAGTCACTGGTAGCGACTTTTTTACATTAATTATAAGTTGTTAAATTTAAATGCCATTTCTTTTAAACTAGGCAAGTAAGGACAAGTTGTTGTAGCAATATCTATGTTCTATATGAGGAATAAGATTGTGCTTATTAATTTGTTTCTGAGGGTTGAGACTTGAGAATGTGAAGCATAGACATTGACATGTGCCATAGCACTCTGCTGCCTTATTCTTCTTTGTTTATTTGTTCCCTTGCATCCTATCTATGCCCAAATTTCCTCCATTAAGGAACTCGCACAAGTTCAAAATAAAAGAACAATTCTCTCGAAACTTGACACCAAAATCAGTGAAATGGAGACCCAGATGCATACTACTACACCGCCAGAAACGGCTACAACAACAGATGTAATATCATATGAAAGTCATCTGCAGCGCCAGTTCCAAAATGTAAGATCAAGTATTAATAAATATCAGCTATCAAAGATACCTGTCATGTTTTTTTACATTTGCTTTCCTTTGAGCTGTTAAAGTAAGCATAATTTCAGTTTATTTGAAAAACTAATTACTTATTTTTTTATTTTTTAAGAACTTCTGAAAAAAAGGATAAACAAAAATGCATACCAAAACACTATCTTTTAATTTTTATTTCACATCCAGTTTCTAAGCTGCCAAATATAAAATATATTGACATGTTTGAGCATTTCTTTTCTAGGTTTATTGGATTTTAATCCTCATAGGATGGGGCACTTTGCTACCCATTGGTGCAATGATTGCAAGGTACTTCAGACAATTTCCTGTGGTGAGTGATGTATGGTACAAGTGTCACATAGGGTTCCAATTTCTGGGTTATATTATGGGCACAATAGGGTGGTGCATTGGGCTATGGTTTGTGAAGTCATCAAAACATTTTGTATCTAAAACACAGAGTACTCTCAGCATCACCGCTTTTACATTCATAAACGTACAAGTAAGTCTGAAATTTGTTCTTAATTAATTTTACTCCACTTAGCTGTCCAACTATTTAAGGTCCTAACATTAATTTCTTTCAATGTGAATTAGATGCTTGCCACCTTAATGCGACCAAATAAAGAAGCGGGCTATTGCAAGTGCTGGAACATTTGCCACCATGTTCTTGGATACGCCATAATTGGAATAGTTATAGCCAACATATTTGTAGGGCTCCACAATCAAGTTCAAGCTGAAACGTTGAAACGGGTTTATGTGGGAATACTTGGAGTTTTGGCTATCGCATTTGTACTATTGGAAATTTTCAGATGCAAATCTGTGATAATGCAACAAGCTGTGTGGTTGACTGGCAACATGTTTACTTATTCACCTTAAATTCTGAATCAGAGAACCAAGTTGATGAAACAAATATTAGAGCAAACGCAAGTTGATGAAGCATTGTCTTGACTTTTATGATATGTCCAATATTAATATAATTATTATGATACTGGAATATAATTCATGATTGCCAAATACGATTTTATATTGTAAAAATGTCATAATTTGCATCCACAATTTTCTTAAAAATACAATAGAAAAGTTTATTTTGAATGTATGGAATCATGAACTACCCGTCGTTCCATCCGGGAAACACAGTCTCACGCCATACAAGTAGTCATGAACAATCCATCGTTACACAAAGGAACGTACAATTTGGTACTTTTTAGATAAAATTATTAAATATTAGGAAGATATAAGAAAACTGTTTTTTTAATCAAATTTTTTAACCTGTGTAATATTACATATGACAGGAATTTATATATGATATTTTTTATTTAAATATTAAAATAATTTAATATAATTTGATATATTAATAATATTAAATGTTATATTTTTAATAAAAGTTTAATATTTGTTAATTTTTTCTTATGTAAAATTTTGCACATGTTAAAAAATTTGATAAAAAGATTAATTACATCATTAAATTATTTTCTGTTGTGCATCAATTTTTGTTTCTGTGGCACTGGTTTGTGAGATTGTGTGTCAAAATAGACACACAAAATTTCCTTATGTGATTCTGGTACAACGTTAAACCATAACAGAAATCAAGAGCCAACAAGCTCCTCTCATTAGAAATCAAATGCGTCTCACATGGACTGATGCAGGCTATACTTTATGATTGTGCCATTGAAAATATTACATTTGCTTTGAGTCCCATACACAAGATTACTTTGAATATTCTCAGTTCATGTAGATTTAAAACTCTTCATTTGCTTTCAATGCAAATGCCACTATTTAGCTGGCAGGTTTTCGTTATTTCTATCCTTACCTTGCGTTTCCAAAGCAATTAATGAATTAGCAATTGGCAATATAATAAGCAAAACCTTATCGACAGCAGAGGATGTTATGTCTACATCGTTTTGGCAGAATTACTTAAGCCACATGCCCATGTCTGCATTGTTACTTGATTCAGAGGACTCTTCGCCCCTCCACTTAATTCATTTAAGCTACACACAACCAATTATGCCGACCATTTATTTTAACATTAGGTAGAATTATTTTTTATTAAATTAATTTTAAAATATTAAATGTAATTGAAATATGTATTAAGTTTATACACAGCTACAAATTTTACACTAGAACGTGTATTATGGTAAGAATAATTGATTTTGATAGTTTAAAACGGACACAACCTTTTATTATTTTAACAGGACATGGGTTCGAAATGGCTTTCTAAAACAGAAAGCAGCTCGACAGAATTGGCTAACCCGGACTTAGAAGTTTATACACGTAATTCCCCATTTCAATTAGAGAAATTTTATTCCTCCGACTCTTTTCTACAGCTAGGAAAAATAGATAAGAAAGAAAAGAAAGACTAAAAAAAGTGAGTTGTAAAAAGACATCCTAGAAAGTGTATGAATAATAGATAATATAATAAGAATTTTAAACTGTATTTTTGGATGATAAACGAGCAAGGAAAGGATTTTAGTTTTATGGAAAGAAGAAAACTAGTAAGGAAGGGAAGTGAACCAAGGACATATTCTCAATCTTACTGGGGCCCAATAAAACTTCCCTTGGAGAAGAGAGGGGGTGGATAGACCAACTTTTCAAACAATTAATTAAAAGTTAGAAACGTGATGATAGAATGGTAGTTGCAATCATACTTGTCTAATTTTCCTTATATAGTCTTCTTCAACAGACTTGCATGCATGATATGGTCCCACTACAATTAACTTCAATCTCACTCATTTCGTTATAATGTAAGCAGAATGGTTTATAGGCTAGCTAGCACTTCGGCGCTCTGGGGCCAACTCAATTAATAATACTCAGCCAATCACAACCTTCAGAATGGAATCACTGTTCGAAAAACATCAATAAGTTTTCCACTACATGTTCCTACTCGTACTATTTACACTCACGTACTTAACTCCTGCAAAGGGAAACAAAATGGCAACATCTTTCCCTTGGATTCTGCTTGCCACAGTGGTGATGGCGATGCCACTTTCCTTTGGCACAAAAGCAAATCAACTTTCTTACAACTACTACAAGTTTTCATGTCCAAATTTGGAAAGTGTAATCAAGAATGAGTTGCTTAAATTATTCATGACAGATGCTACTGCACCAGCCGCATTTCTCAGGCTCCTGTTTCATGATTGCCAAGTTCAAGTAATTGCGTTTCTTTTCCTTCTTGACAAACTTACAAATATTAAATATTTCAAAACAAAACCCAACCATGTCCTAATGTCACTCACTTTTTGTATTTATTTTAACACAGGGATGTGATGCCTCAATTTTATTGGATTCCAGCTACAATAATCACAACTCTGAAATGATTTCTTCAAGAAACTTTGGCGTCAGAAAGCTGGAAATGATCAACCACATAAAATCAGTATTAGAAGAAGAATGTCCGGGACAGGTCTCTTGTGCAGATATCATTGCATTAGCTGCCAAAGAATCAGTGTCATTCTCTGGAGGACCCCATATTCAGATCCCACTTGGAAGAAAAGATTCAAGAACTTGTAGTTCTCAGGAGGCTGATGCTAAGCTTCCTTCACCCACCATAACGGTTGATGAATTTATATCCATTTTCACGTCTAAAGGAATGAACATTGAAGAGTGTGTTTCTATTTTAGGTAATGCATGCTAACTGAAGACCAAGAATAGTTTTTGGTTTGTTGTTATTTATTGTAACTGTTGACATGCAGGTGCACATACCCTCGGTGTTGGACACTGCTTAAACATTGTTGGTAGATTATATGATCCAAGGGTAGGGGACAAGATGGATTTTGGGTTTGGAGCCTCACTAAGAGTGGCATGCCCAACTCAAGTTCCTCTCACAAACCTCACAGTTGTGCCTAATGACATTACCCCCGTTACATTTGACAACCAGTATTACCGAGACATCATGATGGGGAGAGGCTTGTTCGGTATTGACTCAAGCATTTCTACAGATCCCAGAACTGCACCCATTGTCACGCGGTTTGCTATGGATCAGAACAACTTTTTCCAGGCTTTCTCATCTGCGTTTGTTAAGCTTTCTTCTACCAATGTTCTCACAAAAGTGCAGGGTGATGTCCGAAGGAAATGCAATCAGGTAAACTAACGGAGAGAATGTTGTGTAATGTCTTCTCCAAGTATATATATAAGGAAAATTATAATACATGCACAAGGTTTGTCAAACTCATATGTCATCTAGTGGTGTAAACCCTATATATTTAACCACCAACGTTTCTCCATTATTATCTTACTACGTTACTTGTATTCGACCAAACATAAGAATTAAAAAAAAAAAAAAAAAGATTAATGTTGCTGCCAAAACATCCATAACTTCCTTTTTCTTTTACTTCCCAATGTTCCCAAAAAAGAAAAAGTAGGCTATAGAGGTCCTTCAAATTTTACGTTCCATAAAGATATTGACATTAGTACCACTCCGTTTGTGGTTGCTTGTAATGGAAAGAAAAACCCCTAACTTTTGACATGCTTCCAACTTTTGGTAGTGTCCCCACAAACGAGGCACTTGGATAAGAGAAATTTTTCCCCTTAGTTAGAGATGACGGGGGCCCGACTAATTGTAATACAAAGAGTAAGAATAATCACAAACCAATTCAATTTAATGTAAAAGGTAAAGGAAAATTAAAAATAAAAATCGTCAAAATTAACATTTGTTAATTTGTTATTGGATTGATCTTTAAATCTAATTTTAAAAATTTATTACAATTTAAAACATAATTTATTACTAATGCTCATTTAATTATATATTTATAAAATTATAATAATTATTTTTAATGAGTTTACTCTCAAAGATACATTTAATTCTTACTTTAATATGGTAATAAATTTATTAATTTTAAATTCATTTAAATCTTTTTTGTATCACAATTTTTGTTACATAAATTTTATGTTTTATAAAAAATTAATTGAAAATTATATAAATGAAATAATATTTATTTATTATTTTCTAACTAAATAAAATATATAAACATAAATATAGAAACTAAATAATTTAATTTAGTAGTAGTACTATACAAAATACCTAAATAGGTCAAATTGGAATTAAAATTTTATTGATACCAATCCAAAATAAATCAAAAAATATTTTTATGATCAGATTAGAAATTTTTTTGCTTAAAATTAATCAAAATCAAACTAACAACATCTCAACATACCTTTCAGTTGTTACTCCTTTTGTTCCTTTTTATTTGTTACATTTCTAAATACTTGTCTGTAACTTCTTTAAAAATTCAAGACAACATTAATTATATTTTATCAAATATATTATAAACTTAAAATAAAAGAATAATTAATTAATAAAAAAGATAAAAGAGTAAAACAAGAAATTAAATATTAATTTTAATAAAAGTAAAAACATTAAAATTTATTTCTTTATTTGTGTCCATCCTTTAAAGTTATGGATAAAAAGAAACTGGAGTACATTTTTACATCCTTTAAAATTATGAAATCAGTAAAATGTAAAAGTATTAACTATCATAACCTGGTGATGCGATGGAGTGTGGTGAAAGGAAGAGGACATGGTGATGAAGTTGAAGATGAATGTGTAGCATTTGGATGGAGACACGCACAGTGAAGAGAAAGAACAGACAAGTGGAGTGAAGAAAAACGTCGAGAATGAAGATCACGCTCAAACACTAAAGAACCACATTCTTTCTTCCCCGCTGGGCCCATCACTGTACGACGAATGAGATTGGGCTTTCTTCATTAAGCCCATTATTTTATTCTTAGCCTTAGCAATTCAATTCTAAATTAACTTTGCAGGATGAATACTTGGATTAGTCTGTAACGTTAAAACATTATTAATAAAAGGTATTATTCAGATAGAGATTAAATAGAGACTAAAACGTAAATTTTTAATATATAAAAATTAATTTTTATAAATGAACACCAACTATATAAACTAAATACATATTTTAACCATTGTGCTCTAGATTTCATCCTATACATATCATAATGAGAAAGCATACTGCTACGCCAAATAGGTTGGAAGAAGCAATCTTAGCTTAAGCTTGATAACTATATTAATATAATATAGTTAAATATTATTTATAACCAATAGAATAAATAACATTAATAAATACAAGAATCAAATAAAAAAATCAAAAAGAAAACTTTAAAATACAACATCTAAAAACACATCTTTCTGCAGCACCAATAATAAATGATTGGATTGCTTGCTTTTCAATTCAAGTCAAGAAAAGTTAAAATAACTTTTGCAAGATAATTGAATTGACATGAAGATGGAGTCGCAATTATTACAAAACTTTTTGGCACGTTCCTGTGGAGTCTCAATTTTCATTCACGATGGTTCAAACTCTTTTAAGTATCTTCAATCTTGTACCCATCAAAAAAATATGACATTGTCCAATTTGATACTTGTATTTCCTTTGGGCATGAATACAAAAATTTTAAGCAATTATTTTTTAATTCATTCGGCCATTACTTAGTCACAAAATTTGATAAATTGTTATCTAAAATGTAATATTAACAAAAGGAATCATGTTATTACTAAAAACAGAGAATGGCTCTATTGTGATGCCTGTAACCCCCCAATGAAACATTTGAGTTCAAAAAATTTTCTATCTGGACACACTTTACATTCACAGCAATCTAGAGTATCACCCCGACCATGGCAAACTAAAGTAGCTTTCTTCAAGCAGCATAAAGCTAGTCACAAACACTTAAGTAAAGCTTTTAAGTCTTTGACTGCTTGATCAACTGCATAAATTATCATCTTCTTTATCTGTTCCATCAAAGGATAAAATATCATCACCATATGCTCCTCTAATTAATTTTGTAACTGACATGATAAAGAGAAGATCAGGAAAAAAGAGACAGAAGGAAATATATTCTAGAAGTAAATCACCTCAAGTTTATCTTCTCTAGCCTTGTGGTTCTTGGGAAGCTGGCGGAACTCATTAGTTAAACGCAGACACTCATGGACATTTTCTGGGGACACAAAATCTACAGCAACTTTTGTGCATGACTGTGCAAGGTTTGGCATATGGTGATTAGAGTTAAAGATACAATCAAAGGAGTTAACCGAATACATGTCGAGAGATATTTTACCTTGAGATTCCTGACTTGATGTGGGCATCCGGCAGGAATAAATACTGCCTCCCCAAGTCTCTGTTCAAAAGTCCATGGTTCAACACCTACAAGTAAAGATTTGCATAAATAACTAATTACACGCATTGAGAAGACAATGATATACATATATACAATTCCATGTACTAACCAAACTCATCCTTCAGCCTTTTTTTGTGCTCCAAAGTCAGATAAAAACATTGGTCATGAATTGGATGTACAACCTAACCAACAAAAAAGATTTGAGCATCAAGCATAAAAAATAAGGATAAGCAGAAATCTAAATCGTTACAATTTTAATACCTGTTCAACTGGAGAACAATATGTATGTCTAAATTCTTCCGAGTGTTTTCTTAGATATGTTTCTAACTTTTCAGTATCCTCTCTCCGAAATATATCCCATAGGGCACCACCTGATTCCGTTGATTCATTTTCTGTAACAGAAGAAGGGACCCCCTCAGACACACCATTTGGAAAAATATTTCCATTTATTTCAATTGGGCGCTTTTCCATATCACTGGGTTCTGAAACATCCTTATTTCCTATGCATCCTTTGTTGTCTTTGCAAGGTTGACCATTCAGGCCAACAGCAACACTCTCTTGAGCAGAAAGTTCTCTCTCATCTTGTGCCTTGTGTGCTTCTTTCAACTTTGAAATAATAGTGTGCTGCTCATCAGTTAATATTACCTCAGCTGTATGGGTCAAAATATTCACCTTTGACAATTATCAAACAAGAAATTAGAGTAAAAAGTCAATATGCTTACATTAGAAATCTGACACATGGCATAGGAAAAGTTTCAAAACAAAAAAAGCAGATACATGCTTCAAATGCACACATTTATTCTTTTAAAGAAAAAAAAGATACCAAATTTTTTACTGCACCACCTCACAATATACTTGCACATATTAAGAAACCAAATTCAAACCATATGAACATATCCTTTTAGACGAGGGAAAGTAATATAGCACATACGATAATGTCTACACCAAAAGGAAAGCTCATCTTCTACTAACAGCCAATTAAAAAATCTGAAAAAACTTTGTTTTCAATCCAGTGTGCCAACCAAAATGTGGATTCTCAGAAGATAGAAGATTAAATATGTACGTGTATGTGTAGAATATTCAAATGAATGAGAATTGGCTGACCACTGCATAAGCAACCAAATTATAGCCTAATGAAGCTTGATGCATACCGCATCTGACATGTCACAGTGAAGCTTTGTTACAGAGTCTCCTCTACCAAGTTCTTCTTTGATCCCATAAGCAATATATGTTTTTGGACCCATGTCAGGTTTCAGGACATGGGCTGGTAACTTCACAGCAAGATTGAGAATTCCGGCCCGAGGATCACTGTACTCTTGAAATGGCAAGGAACAAATAAACTCATCACAATGACGGGGCAAAAGATCTTCAAATTTATCGGAGGGGGGCCAGTCTTTTAGTTTGAGCATCTCTGGCCAGAGATTTCTATATGTTCTTCCCTCAATATAACCTTTGAAGAACTTGTGAGTATTAATTTCTACCTGCAAAGGTTCAGAAGGGAGACTGTTGATCAGAATTCTAGAATGCTGCATGACAACTAAATAAAATATTATACTTTGATTTTGGAAGCTGAAATACTAAGATGGAAGTTGAATCTCCACAATATGAGGAATCTAAAGCCCGAGAATAAAGGCTTGATGACAATGGATGTGGGACATTACAGAAGAGTAGTCAATACTACAAGCCTTATACATACACTGCTAGAATTTAGTTATCTTTCTTAAAACAATCTACAGGTAAAGTAGGTATTACAGCATTCTTTCGATAACATGAAAAAATTAGAAATTCACAGCCAATCCACAGCAGAGGGGGGATTTAGAAAGAGGAAAACACTACGAGTTTAAATATACATGCTTTAATTATACCAAATATTCTAACTCAGCGTCAAAGTGGGAAGCAAGACCAAACCTCACAATTAGCTAGGCAATCAATGGCTTTCACTTCTGACATTTTTGAACTGATTTCTGAAACCATATTTTCACATAATGCTCGCCACATTACCATTGGCTCCCAGCTCAGACCTGTCCCCTGTTTAAGAACATCACGAACTATAACTGGTTCACCATAAGCCCAATGCTTTTGGAAAAGTAACATCCCTCCATTTGAAATCTCAGTTGACTCTGGACAGTAAATGTTTTTGTTTTCCCAAATTTTGAGCATACTGCGAGCTTTGGCTTCCAAATCAGATATCCACCCATTTGGGAGGATGCGCCTCAACTCCAATAGAGAACTACCACAACCCCCTACCTCCTTTGGCGCGCAACCAATGCTTCCATCACTCTTCGCATTCCACAACATAGATGACTCAATATGACCATCTGATGTCTCTAACTCACAAGGGACTGGTAGAGGGTCACCACCATGCATATAATCAAGGCCCCTATTTACATATTGAAACTTCAGCTCAGCCCGGGGTGTAATGCTTCCATTGCGTATTTCTTGGCAACAACTAAGGCAGAGCTCATAGGAACACTTCGGGCAGCTTCTATGAAGGTCAATAATTGAAGTAGCACAATGGTCACTGCTCCAAGATCAAAAAGTTAAAATATAGATATCATAGAAAATGTAAAGAATTGTGCTACGATCTTAAGAAAGAAGACACTTACCAATAGACACGCTCATTGTCACCACAAAGACTTTGAGGTATTTCAATCTCACAAGAAGATTTCCCTGACAAAAGAGTTTTTTGTTGGTGATTTATTCAATGTAACAACAAAAAACATAAAGGTGAAGATTAAAACCTTGTATTTTAGCTTCAATCTCTTCCTCTAGACTTTGTTCATCACAAATTTGTTTAAGAAATGGAATGAGTAAATTAATCATATGTTGCAGATACTCAGCTTTTTCATAATTGGTGATGTCCCTGTTAGATGTCTGAAAGTAAATAGAAAAAGAATTTGAAAATTTTATTAGTACAGATATAATTCTAAATCTAACAGATGACATTTTTTTTTCAGTGAAGAAATTAACTTAGGGGAAGACATCAGAGAAAATTAAACCTTAATCACTCCTCTTGAACGTAAGCAGACATTGCAATTGCATTTTTTACGGCAAAATGGACAACTTTCAGCAAATTCTTCTACTGACATATCAGGATACCTGTGTGCAAAAAATTTCAAACAGCTCTATTTCGTAACGGAAATTCATAAACTACACAAACAAACACATAAACCTTCAGCAGAATTGATTAATTAGATGTAAAATGCCATACCATTGATTGAAACATCGCATGCAGTACATTTTCTGACATTTGGTACAAGGCACAAAAGCTGCTCTCTCCTTTTTCATGCATTGATGACATTTCCACCGATTTTGTCCAACATCCTGTCAAGACAATTAGTCTAACATCATTTAAGTACAATATAATATTCCACCAATTAAAGAAAATCTGTCATAAACAATCACAGTTTAAACTTTTAAAGTGTAAGAAAAATGCATTGAGAAAGATTGTCACCATCACACTATCCATTCTTCTAGCTCTGCTCCTGGACTTTGACTTTAAAAGAAAGAGCATTTCTTTATCTTCCAAATTGTCAATCAAGAGATCATCTCCAAATTTTCTTTTCTTGTTTGAAGCAGTAAGCTTGGTTGGCCCATCTCCTTTCTTGGATGGGAACTTGGAAGCCCTCTTTGGACGTACAAGAATGTCTTCTTTCCCTTCTGACTCTGGTTTTATGTCATCATGTTTATGAATTTCTTGAACCTTTATCTTTGAATTTCTAAAATCTTTTCGGCATTTTGAGATTTTGTCTGACCTATTGTCAGTATGCTGATTTAATCGTTCTCGTTGTGCAACTGCACTTCTTACTGCGGCTCTCTTCCTTAAATATTCCATAGTTTCTTCTTCCTCTTCTAATTCTGGCTTCTCATTACCATTCTCGTGGATTCCTTCAGCCTTTCTATTTGAATTTCCATAATTTTTTGACAATCTTGAGAACTCCAGCTTATCCTCCGTGTGTTGATTTGACCGATCTTGTCTTGGAACTACAATCTCCATTCTATCTGCAAATTTTACAGGGAAATGCACACAAACAATTACAAACATTCAAAAATCTCAAGTCAGGTTATCACTCATTTAAATGACATGCCAGACTTTTATAATAGCTTGAGTCTGATATACTGTCAGTATAGAATACCCACGTTCTTAACCCCAACAAAAGAAACTGAGAATCAAAGAAGCAGGCCATACTATAAACGCAAGAAAGCATTTTGTCTTTAAAACCACGATATAATTCAATGTCCACGCTGAATCATTACACGAGCAATTTCTTTAAACATGTCAAGCTCAATAACCGGTTAAGAAAAAAAGAATCATGGAATAATAAGATAAAAAAATTTGACTAATTAAATACCATGAGAAACCTCGTCACGATGATTCAGATATTAGTAAAATATATCCCATTACGAATTTCAGCAAGAACTGGGTATATATGTTCAAATAAAGAAAAACTTTCTCTTCAGTTTCTCATGAACGTTTCAAATAAAAAACTGAACTGAGTTAATCCGATCAACCCAACAACATCGGTAAATTCGAAAACACCAAGCGAACCAGAATTCCAATTGCATTCATGCGTAGACAGGACGCACGGCAAACAAAAACGAAATCGAAATCAACAACAACGCTACAAAGACTCTCATATACGTGTCGTCGAATGGCACACAAAAAATTATTACAAAAATAATTAAAAGAGCAGAATTTCAGAATCCATACACACACAAAAAAATACCAATACCTGATCATGAGAAGTTATTCAGGACGAAAATTGATGCTTAGTTAATCAACTCTGTGGCGTTCAAAATTGCAAAAAAGAATCAATGCCGCAAGGTGTCTGAAAACAAAATTTGAGAGAAGAATAGAAAATCTGAGTGAAATTAAGAAAAGATCACGAAATTAGTCGCATTATCTTGACTACAGATAGTCCTGCTGGTCCTCGGTAGAAGATGATAGTACTAGGTGTGTTAAATTTGTTTTCAGGGTTAGAATTTAAATTTAAAATTAAGTTTTTCTTTTTCTTTTCTTTTTTTTTAAACCAAATTTTGAGGTGAAAAGTTGGATTTTTGTTTTTTTTTTTTTTTTTGCTATTTTAGTTAGAGTATCAATAAGTAATATCAATTTAAAAACAAACTTTCTGTTTTTTTACATTAATTAAAGTTTAAATTTAAATTTCAGTTTTTAGTTTTTTGTTTCATATTTCTTTAATCAAATTTCAATGAAAATAAGAATGAGAGAGATCACGATCACCATAATCACAATCAAAGGTATAAAAAGGGTAACCCTACCAGCAAAGAGAAAAACACGTCACTCATCCACTGATTTGCCTGAAATTGAAATTAGTCAGCTATTAATGCCTTTGCCATCAATTTTCTACTTTTTCTAATTATTTATAATCTGTTCAGTCTTTTTTTTGGGTAAAAATCTTTTTCTGTTTTATAGACTACTGATATTATGTTGTGTTGAGCCTTTTGGAACTTTGATACTCTAATGCTCACTTAAACCATTAAGATTGGCATTACTTTTTTTGTTAATTGGGGATCTCAATTTACAACTGATAGATTGCGCGTATCTGCAGCCGATTACATTTACTATTACTAGCATATTAATTAGGATCAGTATCTCGATTATTTTTAAGTAAATCATAGTTACATAATATTAAATTTAGAAAATATGAAATTGGAGAATCATATTTATGTACAGATTATTCTTTTTGATATTTTCTTTAAATGTTTGATAGTTTTTATTTTTTTAATTATTTTTTATTAAAACTTAATTGAGTAAATAGTAAAAAAAATAATTTTGAAAAACACAAATATGAAGTTGGTGTTCGCAGGGTCAAACATTTTATATATTTTAAGTGCACGTGGGTCTGTTTTAGGAACCGTGTGATGCCACAGTTCAAGACTTGGAAGAGAAGCAAATTATGGTACTAGGTAGTTTCTCCGGATGTTTCTCTTATAAATAGCTAATCATAAAAACAAACTAAAGTACGATGTCGTGATTTGGCTTTCAATTTTTTTTAATTTTTTAATCTAAATACTCTTATTGCATTTGTTTAACATTAAAAAACATTAATAATAGAAATTTGTGATTATAATTTCCATAAAAACGATTTTGATCTGAAATGCTCACTTTTATTATTACATATTTGTTTTTCTTTTGAATTTTTTTTTAAAATTCTAAAATTTGTAACTCATTTAACACAACTGGCTTAAAAATACAAATTAAAATAAAATAATAACTAATACTTAATTCATGTATTTAGTAGTGTTTTAATATATTTATTAAAATAATATATAGACAAAGAAATGTGAATATTGTTAAAGTTAAAAGAATAAAAATAATAAAATAAATGCGTATACGTAAAATTTTAACTGTATAATGAATAATTTGTTTTTATTAAAAAATAAAAATATTAATAAATATTAATAAATAATTTTAAAAATTTAAACACTACTTTAAATAATCTTAGAAAAGTTAATTTTTAAAAGTTATAAATTTCTTTCATTTTATATTACTAAATATTTCTACCAGTTTATTGAATAAGTCAATAAACTACAAGTTATATTTACAAAACATAGTACATGTTTAAATATATACAATAATTAACATAATTTTTCAAGTTTAAATATTTTTTTGAAAGATTTTGATTTAAATCTTTACAATTTTTTTTAGTCTTTAATTAATTTTAAATTTAACAATTTTAATTCTTAATTATGACATTAACTAGGAGATTATTATATATTAATTTTTTATGTCATGTGTCAGTAGTTGTTATGCTGTTATGGCACATTATTAGTAAAGAATATAATTTTAAAACATAGAGACTAAAATTAAAATCTTTAAAAAATATAAGGATAAAAAATATATTTCAGTTTTTTTATTAAATTTAAGATGAAATACGTGGGTAGTTTGACTTTGGTGAAGTAATGAAAGCTGATATTGCAGATAAGTTTCCTGAAATAATAAAAGCGTCAAGTATGTTGTATCCTTCATTAACAAGAAGGATGTTGCTCTTCAGAGAATTGGAATGAGAATGAATCACAAACACGTTAATAGTAACACAGTCTGTTAGTGCGTCGTCTTAATATCCTTTCAATAAGCGTAGGCCTCGAACTTCTTCTGGGTTTTTATAATAGATGTCACATTTGTGCAGATTATTTGATAATTTGATTTCCCTAATGAAGGTGTAGTTGCTACAACACCCTTCATGAGACAGGTAACAGCATAAAAACATCATCTGTATAGTTTCAGTAACAGTAACATAGCTTGATAGAAAATTACCTTAGAAAGGACACGGATAATGAAAATGAACAACAATAGATCATTATACATGTGTATATATGTCTGTACCCAGTTGTGTCGGTATCTTTTGACAATTAACGTGGACAGAAATAATCATTCAATGAAAAGAAAAGTCATTGATTAAAACGTGCACAAGTACAGACACTCTTTTTCCTCCCAAATAAGCGGAGCTAAATCTCAAGGAAAAAACGAAGGTAAAAAGAGAAAAAATTATACACAGGATGTAAATCTTGATCAGTTCTTGGATAACTTACGGTATCCCGTGGGTAAACGTTTTGCAAATCCTCTACGTGCTTTGGTGATACAGATTTTGAAAAGCATGATTATCTACTAAGGGAACAAATTCACTATTAACAAAATCAGAAATATCATCAAAGAATCTCAGCCTTACAGTTTGCGCCGATTCCAAAGTTGAACACTAGCTTTTTACAAGAGAAGACCACCCAGCTTTCTAAGCTTATTCTGGAAGCACATGTCAACCGATGTAGCCCATTATATAATATATATGCACGTCCATCTTAGCCTGTCTGGTTAACAATGATGATATCATTTCTTGGACCATGATTTATGGCTCTGGATTATTTGGAATGCCATCAGGTAGAGAAGGGGACGATGCACCACTGATTCTGCTGGGCAATGGTGTATTCCTTCTTGATTGGCGTTTTGTGGGCACAGTAATACTCTCAGTTTCCCACTTTAGACTGATAACCTCTTCATCATCATCATCATCATCAATGCTAGCCTTAAAAACTGGATGTACATATGCATTCTGAAGATAAGCTTTCAAGTTCAGGTTAGGCTCAGTGGCTCGTTCTAATGTGTCTTTCATCATTGCTTCCTGTTTATAAATTTACAAAAGCAACATAAAAATTCCATGACAGAGGAACAGAGAGATGCAGATTTAGGCCACCCACAAATTATTGATATTAGAGCCATAAAATATTTAAAAACGATAATTATATTTAAAATTCAACTTTACAATCTTAACAAAATTAATTCTTTTAAAACTGGCTTTCAAAAGATCATTCCCACACACTAGGTTCTTTCAATATCAGGTCTACTAAAAATTAAACGGACCCTAAAGTGATAAACTAATATACAAATGCATAAAAGCCAAAAGTCAATTGATCATATGGCATCTGATTGATATATCAGGGAGATGCTGTAACAATGTGTGGATCCCACCGATCATAAAATAAAAATGATAAAGTTCAGTATTTTAAGCATAAAAAAGAGTCACCCATAACTGTATTGATAGTATATCTAACACTTGAGCATTTCTGCACTCAAGCATACAGTAGCAAATTCTAACTTGGTATTTGGTGATAGAAGGATTTTAGGGATATCTAATAAATGAGAAGACAACAATTGAACAATAATTCCACCATCAATGCATCCAGCTATTTACAGGATTTTATTAGCAATCAGAATGATTAATTGAGATACCTGTAAGGGATATCTAACAAATGCAGGTTCAAAACGGCCTTTGCAGTATCTATGGAACCATATTGTCAGTATTGGGAGTGCGATTAGAAATGGTGTTGATGAAGCAGCCTTTTTAGTGGTTAGGAGTCCCATCAGAACTATCTGCGACACTATCAGCGCAATCACCACACGAAAATGGACATCAGGCCAGAAAGCTGCACCACTCTCGTACTCTTGATTATAGACATTAATTATCTGCAATTGGAAGGTGTCTTCATCTTATATATGGCAGCAAAAATAGGGGACTCAAATTATACAACGATCCTTGACATGTACAACATAATGCTAACATCCCATTTACCTGATGACGGTACACAACATAGGCCAGCCCAAAGAAAATTATAATGAAAGGAAGAACAGTAGGTGTAACTGCTGCGTAGACTAGACCCAACAAAAAGTACAATTGTATACGAGGTTCTCCAGTGTTGAAACCAATACTCCCAGGATCCATGGCCTCTTCCCTGTCCTTTTCAGTCTTAACCAAGAAGAAATTCTTCAAGTGATATATGATTAGTGGTTTCAACATCAAAACCTCTGCAGCTATACCAGCCCATCCATCAACCATTATATAAGTGATGAAGAAACTTGCTTTCAAAGGAATTGCAGTGCCAATTGTTATAGGATATCTGACATGAATATAAAAAGAATATTCATAAGTGTGTTAAATTAAGAGAAATTTTGGAACAAGCATGTGACCATATTTAAATGTTCAGAAAACCTATATCATTGTTATTAAATAGCTAAAAAGTATATCCAGAAAATTTATAATTTTTCCCCTTCTGTATATTTCACATGACATAATAGTTTACCACAGATACAAAAAATTCACATACCACGCAAACTTTTTGGAGTAGGAGAACTATGCATGCACCCAAAATACAGGAAATATAATGACAACTAAAATCGTAAATAATTCTCAAAGGAAAAAGAAGATGCCTGTATCTTGAATGACTTACTGATTGGCTGGTTGGTGAATGAAAGAGTCCAGCTGTTGAAATGCTGTTCCAGTAAGTATGTTCCCAAGAAATATATTCACAAAATTGAAAAGATAATATCTAGAAGCTGATCTCCTCTCCAGAGATGATATAGATCCAAAGCCTTCAAATTTTGACATGATCATCAATATTGTTGGCAAAAATATGAGAAAAAGCTTCAATGCAATACCGGGTAGAAAACCTTGAATGAATGACTTAATGAAAGGGCTGCACAATAAAGTAAATTCAAATAAGTAAAATCCAGTGATCCATATGGATGCAAATTGTATCTTCAGAGATACAACTGTAACATGAGACTTACATACGAATGAGAGGCTTCAACCATGGTGCTGCTTTCTGGATTCCATCAAGACTTGCAAGAGTTTGTACAAATGCAATCGGAATCATAAAAAAGAAAGTGAGAAAAAAGAATGCCACGGCTATGATCAACCTTCTAACAGTAAGGGAAACATATGGAATTGCCAAGTTTGACCAATAAACATCCCGTGGCTCTGAAGCCCACTCAGTCAACCAAATTGTTGGATTTCTGGTTTGTTGAGTTTGTGCACAAACTGCAGCACCCCACCGAGATTTAAATGACACAAATGCAGCAGGCATAATAGACTTGGGATCATTAGTGACCTTATCCCTCTCTAAAGCTATCTGTAGAAGGTTATAAACTTGAATCATTGCAATCATCATGAGAATTTCTGAAGACACAATTATGAAACCATAATAAAGCCCATAATATCTTCAGATATTATCCTCTAAGGGAAATTTTGTGTCAAAAAAGTTTCTTCAGCATCTGTTTAAATCCTCTCCATATTTTATTTGCACTAAGTTCTAGTGAACAATCAGAAAAATTATTTATAGGTGAAGGCAAGCAGTTACAAAATCATTACATGAGGAAATAACTCTGTGAAAGCAGAATAATACTGCTGCACAAAACAAAGATAAAAGGTACAAGCAAAAATTTGGTATACCATTGTCTTTTTTATGAATTCTGCAAAATTAAAATTTCATTCCCATGTAAGAATAATTTTCATAATTTTTTCAAAATATTATTTGCATGAAGAATTTAGATTGAAATAAGTATTTGCATCCAGAGTGATGAGTGTGGTAAAAATTCGAACAGGAATTAAATGACACTTACTTCCTTTGACAGTTTGTCAATTTCAGTATTGTAATGATCAATAGCATCTACTTTCTTTCCACAAAGACCAAGGAAACCAGTCTGATAAAAACATGTAAGAGGGAAAGATTGTCATAAATCTGAAGATTTTTATGATAACCTTTTGAAGGCACATCAGATTAAACTTAAATACCTTTACTTCAGGTCTATTTGAAGTTCTTTCCACTTTGTTTTGATAATATACAAGCCAATTTTGCAACTTCTTCTTCTTTTTTACCAACTTTGCCAGTTTGTTTGCATTGTAAACAACCTGCATATATGTGACAGTGAATATACAGAAACATACTTTTTTCCCCTTCAAAAGTCCCAAATTAAAGGGAAAAATTAAGTTTTCATAATAGATCAAGTTAATAATGTATTCAATGTTTCATATACATTATGAAGAATGCTAACAATACACTTTTAACACAGTTTTTTTAACATACTCTAAATTATTGACTAAAATTCATTGAAAACTACAAAATTCTGAGAGAGAAACATTAAATTAAGAGTGAGATCCACGTAATTTTTATATTTTTCAATAAATTTTAGCCAATAATTATGAGTGTTTTAAAAAGAGTGTGTTGCTAGCATTCTTCTATGCATCATTTCAGAATCAATAAGGCAATTAAGGAATTTAATATTGCAGCAAAAGATGGAATTTTCAAAGTATAAACCACTCAATGCTTCTTAAATTCTTAATACCAGAATCAATGAGAAAATTACTAACACAACATTCTAGCAGTATATTATACACGGGAGGAACCAACCTGGTGAGTAAGATAGTTATCTGGATGATTGACCAGAAAAAAGTGCTCTACAAGCTCACTTACGGATTCATCAGGATCTGGCGGAATATTTCTAACAAGCACCTGAAAATAATATCTTTTCTGTTAGCAAAATATGCTTGATGGAATATCTCATACATCTAAATGCTAACATTTGACAGTTCAATGCATAACTGCAATTTCCACACACGTGTCATATTTAAAGATAAAGATGCAAATGGATTGGAGAGCTCTTCTTTATTAAAAAGGAATATTTGTTCTTTACCTTTTCTATTGTTTTAATTTTTTTTATAAATGTTTTGCATCCCTTTTATCTTCTAATATCTCTTTCATACATCTTAAGGTCATATAACAGTCATCACTCCATTGTCTTGCACGCACACTTATTTGCTGATATACATAGCTAGTTTATTAATATGCTTGCTTAATGACTATCAAATCCTCACCTATAATTTACAGAGTTTTTATATACAGAAAATTATGATATATATACAATCAGAGATCTATCTGTAAAAATGACTAAGTAACCTACCACCTCTCTAACACAAGAAACAAAAAAATTTGTGAACTGCAATATGCAACAAAGAAGTAGTACAGAGAAAAATCAAATTTACCGTAAATTGATCAGGGCGGCGTTTTTCTGCTGCAAGAAATTGCAATCTCATTGAGGCAACTTTTTCATACTCCTTTAGTAAAATATAGCATGTCCAAAAGGTGAATGCATAAGCAACTACTATGTGTGCCCAAAACCTGAGGCAGAGTATAAAATTTTAGCAGAGCACATTGCTTAATACCGACTAACAATTTAAGAAAGGCCAATACTGTACAATAACTTATATAATCAAATAGTGACACAAATGCACCACAAAAGTTAACTCCACAACTTTAACAAGAGAAATTATGCATAAAAAGTGGTTGATAATCGGATTGGAAAGGTAAGTGGGGTGTCGTCTTACGATGTAACAATCAGGATTCTGATGAGAAGAAAAAGTAATCATGACATAATCACAGAATCTAGAGAAGAGATGTGATAACGATAAGGATTTTGATGAAGAAAATTTAATCAAGATATAACCACAAAATCGAGAGAACAAATGCAAAGCAAATAGGATGTCCTCTGTAAATTAAGGTTGCACCAAGTTAAACACTAGACCTAAAGCCTCAACATAATTAAACCATATATATTAGGTCAACAATGCATCTTGAAATGCAGTTACGCAGGATTTGAAATTAATTTACTAAACAACAACAAGATGTAGCATAAAAACTGTAATAGCACTAAATGATGGTTTTTAAACCTTTCAGACCGACTATGGACATTTGAAATTGAGAGTTTATCAATGTCACTAGCAGTTATGTTATTTAGCCCAGCTCGTTCTAGCCCGGTGCTTGTCCAGTTGACAGGAACAAGAACTGCCCATGCCAGGAATGCTATAGGAACAAAGATTTTAAGTCTGCATAACAGAAACAGAAAACATCAGGAACATATTCTCCATTGCTGATGTTGTATTCATTCATTGTTCATTGTCATTACCCTATCAAGTAAATCCTCAAGTAAACAACAGAGTCCAATCCAGCATGGTCAATCAGTTCAGGTTCTGGCATTCTAAGCGCAGCCGGCATCCAATTCAAAAACCTAAGGTATGATCTCCAATCTAAATTGACAAACTTGCGGACAAATGCTCCTCCATGTATAGGATCTGTTCTTAAACCCTTCAGATACCATTTTGGGAAGTACACTCGATCATTAAAAGGTTGAAGCCTCAAAACAGCAAATGCAACAAAGAAGATAAATGCACTCAAAATGTTTAAGGCAGCTGCAAGCCCAATATCTGAAAGTGTAGCCATTTTTCTTTTCCCTCTAGAACCAATGCACGGTATACACCTATAAAGCAATCAAAGAAATGAATATCAAACAGGGTTAGATTGATATACAACTTGGTGAAAAAATAAAAATTGTATCTTATCTAAAACTCTAATAAAAAAAAAAGCATAGCTTGAAGTAAAAGGTTCTTTTTTCCTCTGTAAATTTTACAGGAATGATTTATAACTAATTTACCATTTTCTGTTCTACCCTAAATTTTAGACAGCCAAAAGGAAAGTAATTTATGAAGCGTATCCCACAACAAAATTATACTCCTCTTTAGCTAAAACACAGACATTAATAGAAAGTCCTTGGATACTCCCAAAATCAGTTCTAGAATTTCACATCAACTGGCATGCTATTCCATCCTAAGACATGAGAAAACAAGAGGAGAAATAGAGTGAACGAAAAATAGAAAAAGGAAAACAAAAAAGGGTCGTACTTTGTGCTTGTGGTTCACAATTTGATGAGGGGAAACCCCAACTTAAAACCCACGAATGAGAAGGAAATCAGAGGTGAAGATCCAAAATTGAATAAAAGGGTATTCGGATATCTTAGAGAGAGAAGAAAGCAAGAAGATTCGGCCACCGTGGGTGCAATGAAACCTCCTTAGAAGACACGACACTAGAAGGCCTTTTCCTCTGGTACACACCAACTATCTCTACCTTAAACAAACAAGAGATCACTGAATTTGAGATTGGCTTCAATGTGAGGAAAGAGAGAAGAAAAGGAAAAACAAAAAGACAGTGTTGTTGGTTCTTACTCGTTACGTTACTGGTGAACAGCACCACATGAATAATTCTAGTAGTGTCTTAACTCATCTCATTCTCCACCCCTTGTACCCGTGTACACTGTACTCTCAAAATTATGTCATTTTGTGAAAGGGATTAATATTTGTCATTTAGAATGTAATATTAAATGGTAATATCTATTAGTTGTAATGTAAGAAAGATTCAATAACCTCAGCATCGTGAACTCCAAACACTGTGTCGGCAAGGTGCCACGTGGTGTCTTCCAACGGCTACTTCTCATTGTTTTCAGGGATTTTAAAGAGTTCGATTCACGCGCTGTTAGAGAGTGTGAAAGTTATTAGGTTTGTGTATCAGTTACTCGGAGATGGCAAGTGACAGGCGTATCCGTATCCCGTGTCCAGAATGCGTTTTTCTCGCGGGAATGGCCACGCGACCACCACGCGTATTTCTCCGGCCATTTTCTTTAAATTTAAAAGTAAATATAGTTTTATATTTGTATATCACTTAAAGATATTATTCTTTTATTTAAGAAAAAAAAATAGATAGATTATAGATCCATGCAAAATATAAGTATGTATTTTTATTCTTATAATATTGATTATTTAGAGTTTTTCATTGCTAATCTCAATATTTATTTTAATCGATATTAAACGAGATTTACCTCAATGCCAGTGAAGAAAAAAAAGAACATTAATAATTACTGTTAATAATCGAATGCAAAAGTTTATCAAACAAGTTCTTAGTTTTTAAAACAATAAAATATTAACATGTCTCGTTATTTTCAGCGTTAAAGAAGTTGTTTAGTACTACAACAATACAAGTTACTTGTTAAGTAAAATTAAATTTTGTCATGTTCTTTTTATATTGCAAATTGTAAGAAAAATTATAAGACCACATTGCAATTACGTTTCAATCTAATTTTATTGTTAGAAATAGTTTGGAGTAAATATGTTTGACAGATGTAAATCCACTATGTCACATTTTATTGTGTTGGTCATCAAAGGACAACTTGTTCTTCGACAATCATTTACACGTACGACATACGACACCTTTTTATTCTGATGAATTCATAGTTAGTATTATGTTTACTTAATATTCTTATTCTAAATTTGTCTATGGTAAATTAACATATAAAGAGGGTTCATTAACTTCATTAAAAAGATGATACTAACTAGACACACTCCTGAGTGAGATCTTTAGGTTTGTCGCACGATACGATGATTTTTTCAAATTTTTAAAATGAACCTCTCTTACCTAATTTTATGCGTTTTCTTTATAGAAAATGTGTAATTATTATTTTATATTTTAAATTATTAAGATTGATTTAAAAAAATGGAGTAATTAACAAAAATTATAATGAATGATTTATACATTTCTGTACAATACAGCAAAGGAAGATCCACAAATTCATTCTAAGAACTTATGGTTTTCGGACAATTACTTTAATATCTTTCACATCTCACAAATGAATATTATCAAGAATTAATAATTTTTTTCTACACTATATGTAATATTATTAAATAAAATAATTTATAAAAAATATTTAAATATTTTTAACGTGTATTTAAAGATACACAACAAAAACTTATATACAGTGAATTGTATTAAAAAATTACTAACATGCATTAATAACATTGAACGATATAATTTTTATTAAAGATTGTAATTTGTTAATTCTTGATTATGTCACAGTAAAAAAAAACCCTTATTTAAAACTGAAGAGCCATGTTTTATATATCAAATGGATTTATACATTATTATCTTTTGAATAACCGGCGAGAGAGAAGTTATGAGATTGATTATTATTATCTTGACCAAAGCACAGCAAGGTGACCATAGATAACGTTTGTGTGGCTGTGGTAAATTGAACTACGGATTACTCTATTAGACTTGTTTTGTTATTAAAGGTAAGCGGGGCCAGGGCATAAAGTTAATTGAGCATTATTAATAAAGGGATTGTCTGTACTCTAAATATTTTCGCTGTATTAACGATTTCAATATTTAAAAGTAGTATTTTTTTTTCCTATTTAGTATGTATTTGTTTAAAAATAAATGCTTGTTGTATCAGAAATATAAAATTAAAAAATGACTTAATTAAAATAAAAACGAAAAGGACACAGGTTGGGGAACAGAAAATTGGATGGCACTTTCCCAAATAGTAGAATTTCCTTTTCATATTAAAGGAAGGAAGCATTTTAAATTAAAATATTATTTTTTTAACTAAAGACATTGGTGAAAAAGATGCATATAATTTGCTGAGTAGTTGGATTATGTTTCGTTTGAAACTGAAACATGTATAATGTTGTTTTTATTTAATATTTTTTATGTAGTATATTATTATTATTTACGTAAACTTAAACTTGATTAATAAAGTAAATAGATTGTATTTTTAAATAAAAAAGTTACAGAACATATTTGATAAATTGAATAGGGACATATAAAAAGGATTTTAATTAAAAAAATATCATCTTTAGATTCTGAAAATTTAATGTTGACAAAATTATTTAGTGTAGTAGCCAGTAAATATATAAAATACGACAATATAATCTTATTTTGATTATTTTATTGGCTGTATTAAATAGTGTTTATATTTCACAGCTTACTTTCTTTTATATTTATTTATTTTACTTTCTATTCTTTCTTTTTACTATAACGTCTTTCTTCCTCTTTTTACTGGATCTTAAATGTGAGTCGGAAGGTACTATAATACAACATTAAGATGTTTTCACATACGCTTGGAACCTGGAGGCCATGTTATGTCTCTTTGTGAAGGAAGAAGCTAATGGTTTGAGATATTTGCCTATTTTTGTCGTTACATAAACCTTTGACAAGACAACCCATACCGGTGTTGTATGGATTGCAAGTAGTGGGTAATTTTCCCAACTGTACTTATATTTAATGCTTTATTTCTTCTAAGCAACACCGTTTTATTGCTTGTCATTGAAAGAAGTCACCCAAGACAAGGCTACGACAAGCCCAAAAGCCCACTGCAATCTCTTCAATATGTATCATTGCCGGCATCTACATTTGTAAAAGAAAACAGCTCGTAATTGATTTGGGCCCAAGCCCATTTTCTCTATCGACGAAAACACCGTCTTCCGAACCGACAATGTTTCTTTAACTGACATTCTCAAACCGTTTTGGTAAAACAGCAATACCCATTTAATTTATTTTATATATATATATATATATATTTACTGTCAACTATGGAATAATTTTTTGATATTTCAAATGAATGACCATTCATTCGAATAAAATATAATTAATTAAACAGAAAATTTGAAAATTAAGGTTTTATTGAAATTAAACCATGATAAATTGAGACAAGGTAAAAAATTAACGTTGTAATGGTATTATTATTTTTGTATAAATTTAATAATAAAAAGTATTAAAATTCGAACATCCGCGTAGCTTACAAATGAGAAAGTAATAGAAACTATGGGGATTCCTTGCTCCCAAGTCCTAAGCTGCTCAAATGGGAATTGGATAGGGATTCAGATTTGTCTTGGGACCAATCACATTACATTCCATTCCATTTTCTTCTTCTAACGGATCTGACCCGAACCCGAATAATGGTTTCCGCTTCCGATTTAGACGTGGTTCCGGATCGGTGCCGCTCCTGCTCCCCTTCTTCCCGGACTCCGAGGCTGGGCCCGAGCCGCCTCTCCAGCTCCCGTAGATCCCACCCTTCTTCGTGGTATCGAAGGAAACGAACGAAACTGCTTCTGACGCTTCTTGCGTTGCTTGCTTCCTTTTTCTTCGTCAATTGGTTCATGCTTCTCCGCTTACCACACCAACACGATGCTCCCCATCCTGTTCCCAAACCTCGACTCCGTTCCTCCGTTTCGCTTCCCCTTCATGTTCGTGCTCTGCTTTATCAATTATCATTACCAACTTTGTAGATTATTTGAAACGCTGATATGATATGCTTTATATTATATTTTCAGGGGAAATGGAACAAAGTTGGAAATAGGAAGAAATCACAGAAGGGGAATTATGTAAGGATGTTGGCATTGGCTGCTCATGCCTTAGCAGAGGTATTGAATGATTTTCAATTATTAGTAAGAGAAAATTTCACTATAGAGCAAATTTTCTGTGAATCTTACTTTGTGTGTCCAATTGAATGAAACAGAATAAGCGTGAACCAAAAGATTTGTGGCAGGAACCCTTCGTCCCTGCTTCTGCTTGGAGGCCTTGTGCTGATCAGCGCAATTGGGAACCTAATGGTATGTGCAATGTGACGGTTGTTTAGATGATGTCTATGTGTAATTGTTACTACGAAAAAAAAAAAAAAACGAAAATGTTCATTGGTTTCTTAGCTGGTACTCACGGCCTGCTCTCTTGTACTCTGCTTGAATAGAGGGAAAAAATGGATACATTTTGATTACTGCTAATGGTGGGATCAATCAACAAAGAGTAGCGGTGAGTATTCTTTGTTAGACAAATGTTTGTTATATGACTTCTGAATTAATTGAGTTTTGGTTGATTTTAACGTAGAAAAGCTTATGTTTTACTCTTTTTTTAATGATCAGCACGTGATTTGTGTTAGTTTTGATTCGCAACAGGTTTGTAATGCTGTTGTTGTGGCCCGGTTGCTCAATTCAACTCTGGTTATCCCCAGATTTATGTACAGTAGTGTATGGAGAGATGTGAGGTAATGCTCTGTTTATCTCTGTTTCTTCTTCACCTCCACCTTGGCCTCCTGCTCACATAATCTTTCTCTGTTCTGTTTTCCCTACCCTAAACTCTATTTAAAAAAACCAATAATTTGGTTGCTGGACCAATTCTCAGTTTAGAGACAGATGATTAGCGGGACATTATACTATGCTTGTGAACTTTTATCAGGTTGTAGAAGTTGAATCAATTTATAAATAGCTATAAGCTTTATGAATAATTTTGGGTGACAGGCTGAACACATGACCTGATTGTACACTGCTTTTCATTTTATTTTGCTTTTCATGTATTTATGGGACAAAATAGCGTAAATCATTAGAATTTTTAGCCTTAGCCTTTTGTCTTGGAAAATTTCAATGTCACATTAGCTGTCCATGTGCCTTCTTTTTTTTATTATGTGACTTTGTCAACACAACTTATAACTGCTTATTGTATAATTTCATAGTCAATTCAGCGATATCTATCAGGAGCAGCATTTTATTAACTACTTGACTCCTGATATTCGGATAGTGAGGGAGCTTCCTAAGGACCTACAATCTTTGGACTTGGAGGCAATTGGTAGTGTTGTAAGTCACACCCTATCCCCCCTCTGGTAAAGTGATTAAACTCAACTATAGCATTGTATTTATATTTAATTGTCCTGAATGCTTTTCCAGGTAACAGATGTTGACATGGGGAAGGAGGCCAAGCCAAGTTTTTACTTGAAACACATACTACCTATTATACTTAAAAATCAAGTTGTTCACTTTGTTGGATTTGGGAATCGCCTGGCATTTGATCCAATACCATTTGAGCTGCAGGTAAATGTCCTCTGATGCTTAAACACCACAATATAATTTTCATGATCTCAAGCCCTTCATGGCTTCATGCTCTGTTATTACCATCTTTCTTGATCTGAATCCCTACTATGCTCTTCCTAATTGGGGGAACTTCATATAGAGACTTCGTTGCAGATGTAATTTTCATGCCCTGCAATTTGTTCCCAGAATTCAAGAAACTGGTGCTTTGCTTCTTAAAAGGTTGCGTGAACATTCCGATTTTATTGGACCACTGGACCATTATCTTACTGGTCCATTTGCAGAATCAATCAAGGAGAAGAGTGGAAATAATACCAAGAAAGCATCCAAATACCTGGCTTTGCATCTCAGATTTGAAATTGATATGGTATCTCATTCTTTGTGTGAATTTGGGGGAGGTGAAGAAGAGAGGAAAGAATTGGAAGCATACCGTGAAATCCATTTTCCTGCATTGGTGCTGCTGAAGAAGACTACAAAGTATGCATCATAATTTTCCATGTGAAGCTCTTATCCACTTATCTTTTTTTAGACAGCAATTTTAAATTATGGAGAGAGGAGCTTTTTAGTATTGCCTTAAAAGTTGTTGAAATCTTCTATGCAGGTTACCTTCTCCTTCAGAGCTCAGGTCTGAAGGCCTATGTCCTTTGACACCTGAAGAAGCCATCCTTATGCTTGCTGCCCTTGGTTTTAACCGCAAAACACACATATTTGTAGCTGGTTCTAATTTGTATGGAGGTCGCTCAAGGTTGGTTGCTTTGACCAGCTTGTACCCTAAATTAGTCACCAAAGAGAACTTGCTTTCTCCGGCTGAACTTGAACCATTCGCTAATTATTCATCTCAGGTTGGTTGCTGGTTTCATTCTTATTTCATTGAAGATGTTGCAAGTCTAATTAAGTTGCTTGTTACAAGAAACTACGTTGTGTGTACAGTATATTGTTCAATTTTTGGCATTAGTTGGGCGTGAATATCTGCTCTCTCTCTCTCTATGCATTGCGCCTCATTGTTGTTATCTCTTTTTGAATATGATAACTGAAAAGAACACTGAATTTGTTTTGGTTCTATTGGATGAATGACAATAAATTGTTTTTATTATAGTTAGCAGCGCTGGACTTCATAGGTTGCACTGCTTCAGATGCATTTGCCATGACCGATTCAGGAAGTCAGCTATCATCTTTGGTGTCTGGGTATCGAATATATTATGGTGGCGGAAAAATGCCAACAATACGTCCAAATAAACGTAGGCTAGCTAGTATATTCATGAAGAATTCTACCATTGAATGGCGTGTTTTTGAACAGAGAGTTAGAAAAGCAGTTAGGCAAACTAAACATGTACAGACAAGGCCTAAGGCAAGAAGTGTTTACAGGTATCCTAGGTGTAAAGCATGTATGTGCAGGACAGATTGATTTATTTATGTAAGCGCGACTGTAATTGTCTGTTGTAATTTTTAACATTGTTGTTCATTATTCCAATTCAATTTTTTTCCTTTGGCTCCATGTATTGTAGTTACACTCAATCGTGAGTTTGCACGGGATTAATGACGGATACTGAGTCAGAGACAATGGTCTTTTATGTTTCCTTCGCGCTGCTATGATCGATAAGATTTTGTTGCTAAAAGCTGAAAACTCAGTTTGGGAGACAAATTGACCATTTAATCTATAAATAAGCTGTATATGACGACGAATTAATTTTACAATATTGTAATAAAAAATATATACTTTCATGTTATTTTAAAATCATTTTGTGATGTATTTTTAAAAACACATACATAACCTATCATAGACTAATTCATTGATTAGAAAATGCATGGTTGTCATATAAATTTTATATAAAATAATGATTTTTAAATTAAGCTTAATAAAATCAAAAAGTTGAGAAGTCGGTTATGAATTATACGGAATGTTTCTAATATATGTTTTTCAAAAGAAAAGGGTATTGGGAAGCCAACCTCCTAATATAATAAAATTGTAACATTTTATTTGTCAGAAAGAATTATAACCTGAAGCCTGATATACTTCAGAATTGATCTTTATTAAACTGAAACTGCCAAAAGTGATAATGTTATTCTTACAATGTGGTTCAAAGTTCCTGTCAAAACAATTTCACCAAAGCTAAAATTTTCCACTGGTTCGATGACAGTGAATTGTATTTCCAGATCTTGTGTTCCTAGTGGACTTACGGTAAACGAAGTCGGATAAAGGTCGACTTTAGTTCCATTTGGGGGTAGAACTGAGGCCAAGTATGTCTCTGTGTTGTTCCCTACATTCATGACAGTTCTTCGCACAGAAACTGATCCTCTTAGTGCAGATATTGTTACTGAAGCAAGGTTGAGACTGAATGGATAGGCAAACGGATGGTTGCACTGTTCTCCAGTAGCTGCAATTATTGCATCAGCGTCCATGTTTGGCAAAGAGCACAAGAAGCTGATGAAGTCTAAATATTCTGTTTCAAGACCAATAAACAGTTAGGTTGCTGAGTAAAACCAAGCTGATCGCTTATTCAATTTTCTAACTCTGCTACTTAATAGTAATTACATACCTGATGATAGTACCAAACCTGGATCAATGGCAGAGTTGGGGTTCACAAAACCTGCTCCATATTCAAATGGATTAGAGGGAAGCAAGCGGGTGGACTCATAGCCTTCAGCCAGTATATGCTCTCCAAATTTATCATACTTTGAGCTTGTTGTGGAGATTGCAGATGCTATCATAGATGCAGTCCACAATGGATTATATTGCTTAATAAGTGCTGCTATTCCAGCCACATGAGGTGTGGCCATACTGGTACCAGATAATATTGCAAAACTGTGCCCTGTATGTATTGGTAGTACAAGAGTTAAATGTAATTTGAGAATGTCAACTGAAAGTTGGGGTAAGGAACAGGATTATGTTGTTGTGTAACTGGAGAAAGCAACCTATTTATTTAGACACAATTCGGTCATGTTAACAATTCGGTCATGTTAACAATTCGGTCATGTTAGCAAAAAAAGAAAAAAATAGTGTACCTTTCAGCATAGGTTCTGAGGCACTAATGGGGCTCCAAGCTGCCCATATTTGGTGCCCTGGAGCAAGAATATCAGGTTTAAGCACATCAGCAGGATTCTTTTTAATGTCACTGATATCGGGACCCCTTGAAGAAAATCTACTAACTACAGGAGATCGCCCTACAAAAGAGGATACTCTTCCTTCTCCAACAGCTGCAACAGCACCAAATTCTGTAGCAGTTCCTCTCTCATCCCTCTTTGTTTGTTCTTCATAATACTGTAATATAACCTACACTCAAATGCAACCTTTTACTTGTCTGACTGCACAGTTTCAGTTAAATAAATAATAGTAATTATCGTGACTAGCTTTTGTACCTTGGCATCAGCTACAGCAGGGAGCAAAATACCAGAAACAGCAAAAGGGATTGGCTCTCCAATATAATCACCATAGGTTGGGTTGGCAACTAGAATAAACCCCTCTAATCCTAGAGCCTTTGAGGTGTCAATAATGGCACCAACGGTTGAGGTTCCATTAACAAATCCCGCTGAGAAGGTGCAGATAATGATACTTCCTAACACTACATTAGGGTCCAAAGCTTCTGGATGTTGGCACTCTTCTATGTACTGCATAGTCCTTGGGCTTGTTCCATTTATTTTTACTGCATCCTTAGCTAACACAAGCTTATGCAAAACTGATCCATTACCAAAACTTGGTCCTGAGTAAGTGAGAATCTCAAACACTTATCATTTGGATTGCTACACAGAGAAAATTTAAGTGGATTGTGTTCGTAGGCAGAACTACCTGATAGTCCCACGCCATGAAGTATTTGCCCATTTCCAAGAAGAAGTGAAGCGGGGTACCTTCTGTCTGTGGTGCAAGCAGCAACACCTACACTCCAGGGACTGAATGACACAACACTTGAAGGTGCTGGACCCTTGTTCCCTGCAGCTTGCACCACAAAAACTCCTGCTTTTCGTGCAAACAACAATGCAATATCAAACAAGCTCAAGAACGTCAAGGTGTGTTCTTCCGGTTCATTTGGTCCAATAGAAAGTGTCAAGATATCCACACCATCCAGGACAGCCTGCAATTGTCAAATTTTGGAATTTTACTGGCTATTCCACCTTTACCTGAAGCGTTGAGTAGAAAAATTTTCACTAAATAACTGCTCCCACAATCCTTATTCTATATCTGTCTAGTCTAAAATATAACAAATAGCAAGCCGACTGCATAGTTTTATCAATTCATTAAATATTATTCCTTTTTATTTTGCTTTCGACTGAAAAATGATGGCGATCAATTTAGAACCGAAGTGGCACTTACGTGATCGATAGCTGCAATAACATCTGCCATAGTTCCCACGGACGGATAGATAGCCTTATAAACAGCAATCCTGCAAAACACAGCAACATTCGTAGCTACACAAATGTGATATCTAAATCTACATATCATTTTGTGGTGTGGTGGCATTGGTTAAATGAAGAACTTCTCATTTGGGTTATTTAAGACCTAGTTATAAAAATAATAACAATAATTTCTCATTTCAATAACTGATTCATGCATATATGTAATACCCAAATACCCAAAATAATAATAATAATAATAATAATAATAAAGCAGTAGAAAGCTCACCTTGCACGTGGTGCCATTCCGCTAGCTCGCCCGTAGAAAAAATCGTTCACAACAACGGGAACACCAGCATTGCCAGCAGCAATAGATGCCACATGACTGAAACAAACCAATTAGACATAATTAACAGTGCATATTTGCAGCATAGAGATAGAGAGGAAACCAACTTTGAAGCCAAACATGAATCAATACCTGCCGTGTCCCTCAGCATCAAACGGTGAAAGAAAATCCACAGAAGCATTAAGGGTAGCAGCAGCTTCAGCCCCAGCAGAGAAGTACCTCGCTGATACAATCTTTCCATTGCAAGAACTAGCTGGGAACAAAGGACCAGCCTCACATGCACCCTCAAAATGAGAGAGGTTTGATGTGAAAGGGTGCATGGGATCATAAGCAAAGCTGGGATGAAGAGGGTTGATGCCACTGTCCACAAAACCAATAACAACTCCATCACCTGCGTTTTGGGCTCCTCCTTCTTGTGCCCATATTCCTTCCGGTAAATTTATAAACTGAGGAGTGTATGTTGTCATCAGTTTCGCTCCTCTATCTTTCTCTACCAACTTCACTCCCTGGGTACCTCTCAGTCTTGTAGCCTTAAATTTTTTGTCACCATTTTAGAGCGTGTACATGAATATATAATAAGCACGAATGGACACGTACGTGTACATACATATATACACACACACATCACATTCTTGAAGTTGATGGAGACAAAGAAGAGAACCTGTGAAGGGGTTGTATGGACAGAAAACCCGTTAATGAGGTGTTTGTAACTGTGGAGTTTATTGTAGCTTCCACTCTCCAAAGTATTTTGCAGAAGTAGATCATGGGATGACAATAAGTGCTTTGCATGTGCCTTCGAGACTTCACTGATTAGCCATACACACAAAGAGGAAAACTTATGTGTTCAGGTTTGTTGATTGAAGGACATGATGAGATAATTACAGGTATAAAATGAAGCCAGTATGTCATTTGAAACAGATTTCCATATAAAGGAAATTACATTATCTTCAATTAAGGATTCATTTATATATCTGAAGAGAGTGTTATTCAAAATGTGGTGCAAAAAAGTAGTGCGCTTAATTTAATTTTCGTTGTTGAGTAACTATATAAATTAAGGAAAGGAAATTAATATTATCTCATTTTAATGTTCAAACATGCTAAAAGCTGATGACCCGAAAAAAGAAAAGAAAAGAAAAGAAAAATGCCACAAGCCTTACAAAAGGTGCTTCCAAGGATCACTCCGTAGAATTCCTAATAATGGAGTTTGATTTCAACATATATAAACTTAGTTTTCTTAACTAAATATTGCATTTTATACATGTATAGCAGCTTTAGTTGCGTGTAGTTGCGTGTTTACTTGAGACAAAAACAATATGCAGATTAATATAATTGATTATTTATTTATACAGGGAGAAGATGGGCATTTAGCGGAACATGACACCTCAGTTCGTTTCCGTTTAGGAAAAAAAATCAATTTTTACAGTGCCTTAACAAGTTTGGTAACTTTTTAACATTTTCAAAATTAATAATACAACTAAAGAAGAGTAACAACATTCTAATATTAATTATTCTAATATTTTTTAATAAAAAATATTTTAATACATTGAAAATATTAAAAATATTCAATACCTTATTAATGTAGTAAATACAAAAGACTAATAAGAAGATACTACGGGGGTTTAAAATTACTGACAAACATCTATCCCATGCATTACATGTAAGTTTTTTTAGTATACTTTTAAACACAAATAAAACTATTTAAAATTACTAAAAAAATGTGTATACAAAGTTAAATAAAAAATTAAAAAATATAAGTATTTTGTATTTAAAATAAAAGAATAAATATTTCAAAACATGTAAATAGTTAATTTGAGGATATAAATAATTGAAATTTGAGAAAAAAAATATATAATTTTTTGCTATTAATTTAAAAATTTAAGATTGAAAGGAAAATTTATGAATCGAAACTAATTTAATAATTTTAAAAAATGTTGAATAAAAATGAGGTTAAGTGTCACAAGAAAAAAGAGCGACAGATAATTTTTTTTTCGATAGTAAAGATTTAATTTTATAATTTATACGAGCAGATTCTTGAAAAGTAAAATTGAGACTAAATTTTGTTATGTATTATATTTTGAGTTAAGAACATCTATATAAAATGAGGGAGTTAGCTCTCCAAGCAATTTCTTTTCATTTATAAAATTTAAATTTGAAACTTTTCTCAAGAAGAATCCAGTATGTCTGAATTAACAAAGAAAATTTATCACTTGAAAAAAAAAACGTTTCACTCAAAATTCAGCATTCTATATTAACCTGTTGTGGTCAATTCTTGATGATGAATGATGATCCCGTGAACCTTGATGGAAAGCAACTGCGTCTCCTTCCAACAGGACCAAGAATATTGATCGCTCTTCTTGAATGCAAGTTATAGAAACAAAGAAGATGGAAAGGAGAATGCTTAGGAATGGTAAAGCCATGGAAATAACACTCCTTTTAGCCATTGTTACGACAAAGGGAAAGCCACAATGGGTTTAACTTATAGAGTTGATGGGTGATGATTCTTATAATGATGAAAGCAAAGGTAAACACAATGTTAACGTGAACAAAAATTGCAACTTTGCATTCTAAATCAACTTAGTCCAACCGTTACTATCTTATGTTCAAGGTCGGTTGGGAGTATTTAATATTACACCTTTTACGTAAAATGCGTCAACAAATGCATGCCATCACGCAATATGCCCCAAAACAAACAAACAAAGCACACACAAAGCTTTAGTCGTAAAACGAGGAACTCTCGTTACTTAGTCGGTTCAATCTAGACGAGTTTAATTATTTTCTGTTTATACGTAGTATTTTTTTAAATCACAAATATTTTTTATATGAAATAATCTTACTTAAAGTAGAAACATTCATATTATAATAGAACAAACTGATCTTGTAAAATAGAATTTTATACACAAATTTTAAACTCAAAATCTTACTAACAAAAATTAAGTATATATCACTTAAATTGATCATTCATTTGTGGTCAAAATCAGTGGTTTGGGTTAAAAATAAATAAATAATTTTAGTTCCTTTGTTTATTTTAATTTGCAAATTAATGGTCTGGCCATACTACATAGAACCATAAAACGAATCTTGACAACATTTTTTTAAAAATATAACTATCTAAATATTTGCCCATTATACCAAACTTTATTTTTAATTATATATTTTAGTTGTAGTCAAATTCGAGAAAAATAATATGAAACCATAACTTTTCAATGGCAAACTATAATATTTGCACACAGAAAAGTCACAATACTTTTACATTTTAACAAATAAGTCTGCATATCATTTTGTTACATTATTTTACACTATTTATTTTCACAAGGCATTCTGACATCATTTGTTTTTTAGACAATATAATATGCAAAGCATAATGTTTAAATACATAATTTTTCTTGTTTTTTTTTTCAAACAGAATAATTGTGAGAAATATAAGAAATAGCCTGTAAAAGAATTAGAGTGAATTTATTAGAATATATACAGAATGTATTAAGAAGTGCATTAGATTGAAAATTCGTTAAAACATAACGTAGTTAATATAATAAAAATTGTTATTTTTTAAAAAATAAAATAAAATTTGCTTGCAAAAATCTTCATGGACAACATAAAGGGGGTGAGATAACGACCAGAATTGAAGTTTTGGGAAATGGGCCACTCATTACCATAACCGGAGAATAGGGAAACGCTTTTGAACGAAAACAGCTCAAGATTACGTAGCCTAGAGCAAAATTATAAAATGGCTTATTTTTATTAGTTAAATAAAATAAAAAATAATTTTAGTAATTTTCATCCTCAAAGTAATATACGTTTCAAATCCATTTTTTAATTATTTTTAAAATTTAATTTAGTCCTTTTAATTTTTTTAATATGAAAAATTAACTGTTTCAATTCTACAAGTTATTTTTTCATGTGAATATTTTTGTTAAACTTTGCTTTATCTTCCAGCTTACAAATTTTGTACAGGATGACAATTTGGACTAAGATTTCTTCTCTTTTTTTGTTTGGTCAGAACTAAGAATTCTTCATTCTCTACACTTACTCTACATCACATGTCGATCCAAAACTGCACGAGCCCATGGTTCAACAACTCAATCTTCAAAGCTAGATATTTCTTTGGTCGTGCAAAACTACATTCACAACCCAAAAAAACGGGTGCTAACCTACATTTAAATATATATATATATATATATATATAACAATTACATCTATAAAAAGTGTTTTTTCTTGACTCTTTTTTTATTACTTCTTTGGTAACCAGAAACCCTTGTCACAAGCCGAGAAAGTCTTAAACTGAAAATTCCTTAACTCAAAATAAGATTTTGAAAAAGATGGACCAAAAAATGGACAAGATAACTGAATCTATCCAAAAGAAGCCAACAATTTTTTTTATATTTTTACTTCTACTTTAAAATAATTAAAAATGATTTTTATATAAAATGTTCTTTTTATTGGTTCAATAAATTAATAATATAATTATTTAAATAAAAATTCATAAATAAAAGGAAGATGTAGAAAGAAGAGGAATTGGCCAAACCAAATTATTCACAAAAAATAAATACAATCAAGTCAAAATCTTATTTCACACAGATTAAAAAATATTAAAATAACATTATTTTTAACATTCATCTTCCAATCAATGTAAAATTAATTCCTATCAAAATTTTGAAATACAACATTCATAAATATCCAACAAAAGTCAACGCTCTTATAGATGGCTTGTGCTATACAATAGTAAAATTTTGTTCTTAGCAATAACAACCCAGAAGCTGTAACAAAATTACTACTTTTCGGCTAAGTTTATAGTAGCTATGGAGATATGTCTTAGACGTTATGTGTGTGAAAGATGCTAAAAAGAAGGGGGGGGGGGGGGGGGAATTATATTTTCCTTCAAAAAATCAAGTATTTTTTATTTCTTCAACAAGTACTAAAATATTTGTTTACTAATTGTCGATTTTCCTAACATTTTGGATAAATTTTAACCAAAAAACGATCCGGATTAGCAATCACATTATTATTCAAATGTTAAATTCAATTTATTGTTTAAAAAGTCCATAATTTTCATTTTGAAAAAAAAAATCTCCAAACATGCACTAAACTAGAGAAAATTAATTTCTTAACGGGAAAATAGTGAATAATAGTAACCACAATTGTTAAAGATATACATATTTATAACACTTTTTACTGTATAAATATCGTCACTAATTGAAGTAACATTCTTATTATGTTTTTATGAATGCCTTGCATATTTGGATACAATACATACTTTCAGATCACAAAACCACCAAAGTGTTTTTCAGAGCATGGTGTGGGAGAGATCCATGGGAAAGGGATTGCCCAGAACATTTTCCATGTAGTAGTGTGGATGGCTTGGATCCACCACCACAAATTGCATGTCCTCTGAAGGCTTCCAGTGCCGTTTTCTCTGATTAATAAACCAGTTGTTAATTTGCTTCTGATCCAGACCTGTTGATTCTGCGAGAGCCAGCTTCTGCGATTCCTGTTGACGTATATATTAAGCAAATAAAACCTTGAAAATGCGTTCCCCTAAAAGCTACTGTAACTTGTTTTATACATACAAGAGGAGATGAATACTAATCTATCGTTCTAATGACAGTTAAAAAAGTAATTTTTATTTTTCAAAAAACTTATCAGCAAACCTCTTTTGTAATTTTCAATGCATCTTGATTTATAATTAAAAAACATTTACTTTTAATTCTTCATCTTGTGCCTTGAAACACTGGCTAACAAGATATAAAATAATATATATCATTATTTGTTAACATATGAAAAATGTTAAACATTAGACTTTAAAACTGATTTTAAATATCTAAAAACACATTAAATTTTTAATTAGATATTTTTATATAATAAATATTTTTTTAATGAAAATTTGCGATTTTTATGTTTGAATTCAACATGAAGGATTTAAGTCTCAATGACTTGAGTTAAAAAACACCATTAACATATTAACGTCATTAAGATATAGGAAAAGGATCATATTATTGATGCAACATACAGATGGATAAGGCCATTTGTAATGTCTGCTCCACCATTCAAGTAATTGTTGCCTTGCTTCTTTAGGCAGCTTGCCTTTTTTCCTCTTTTTCATGAATTCCTGCTTCAAACTGCCAAGGTATCCACTGTACCTGCGTAAGAGTTGACCCTTCAGTTCTTGATCCTCTGCCTGGGGATCGATTAAGTTGTTGTGTACATCAACATCTTCAGATGATCCATTCCTATCAGTAGCTTCATTACAAGCTGATGATCAAAGGAATCAACAACTAAAGTAAGCCCTAGAATTCACGCATAAATTATTATGATATCATAAATTTGAAAACAAAAAGCATGGGGAGGGCTTAATGCAAAATCATTAGATTTGTCTGCTGGAAAGTACAAGGTAAGCAATAAATATCAATACCAATTACAAAAAATTTAACTGCGACTCTTCGATTAATATCAAATGCAAGCATAAATATGCCAGTTCAGAGTGAACAGAAGAACACCACAGAGAACCACTGGAGAAATTACTCTTGGTCCTTCACATATTTAGCAAGCCACCACGTTATGCACATGTTTAGGGCCGATTTTAATTGCACTGAGGTGAAAAATTAGATGAAGGATGACTAGAAGTGCAACTTGCATTAATTAGGAAATGATTAATGATAAACAAAAGTGAGTTTTTAAATTGATGCAACCAAAATGAAACCAGTGTCCATATAGAACCTTATTCTTAACAACCACTAGCCACCCCCATTTTCTACATTACCCAATAAGGTTAGAGAAGAGAAATATGTTCTTCAAAGTGAATGTGTCTAGTGTTTCTTTCATCAATATAACTTGTGTAAGGCTACTTAATAAATTATATTGACCCACCAAAAGGAAGATCATTTCATTGTATGCAGAAATGACAATCACAAGATCATTTAAACACAGTAAAAAGGGGTACAAATTAATTTACTTCAAAAGGTTCATAATCAAAGCAATACACTACACAGTCATAAAATCAGCATGCTCTTCGAGGCATTGCTGTTAGTCATGGAAGAATTAAAACTATCGGGAAATATTAAACAGCAACAAAACTAACAACAATAGTAATATAATTCTATTGAAAAAGCAAAATTGTTTAATAACTCAAAAGATGTTGGCAAGGGTGGGACACTCTAACCAGAAATCCTTTTAATTCACAAATAATTTTGTTAAACTTCAAGGATACACACTGTACAGCACACACGTTTTTTTTCCAAAATTAATATAAACCTGGGATAGACTACTACGATAACTGGGGCACCAAGAACATGAAGCATTTGTTCCTTTACGTGCCTTAACAGGAAAACATGCACTACTTTTGGCTCATACATAGCTGGAAGTTTGAGAAAGCTTGATTATAATTATATCCAGGGAAGTATATACAAGCTTCCTGCTATTTTTCATCATAGTCATCATTCTTCTTGAAGTAAAGTTTGGCACATATTGATGGTTGTCACATCAATTGTTAATTTCAATCAGCAATAAGCACCATGTATATGTAGATAAGGCAGGTGGCCATCCATTTCCAGATATAGACACACAAATAAATAGTATCATAATATCGAAGACACAATTCTAGGAAGCATGGCAATATGCACCTGCACCTGAAGACACAAACACAAGTAAAATAATGACGATGCACATACATACTCTAGTTCTGTGATTATACAATGCTTAATTGTACTTATTACAGCAGATTTACATTGTTTAGGATCTGTGTAACAAATTAGCCGAAAGGATACTATTGAGGCCACCCAACCAAAAAATTTTAATTTATCAGTATGAACAAATATTTCCCCTGTAAGATCCTTTCAATTAAATCCCTACACAAATTAAGAAATGTTAAAATTAATTGATTAATTGATGTATTAGTTTTTAAAAATAGTTTCAATATTCTAAATTTACTCTTAAAGAAAAACTATTATTATATTACTTATTGAAAATTTTAAAATTTTTAATATTTACAAAGCACAAATATATTAAAAAAACTAATAAATGTTTCTAAAACTTTGTAAGAGATGTTCTACTGAGGACTAAAAATCTTTGAAAGAATCTTTACAAGGACACGAATAAAAGGCAAAACCATGAGTTATTAATCTATATATCGAAAAGATGGTAAAAGACATAGCCACCACTCATTTTTATTTGATAAAATGCAGTGAAAATGTGATTTTCCATAAATTTAATATATTATTCAACAGTTTCGCAGTTTGTTTGTTAACTCCTTCACGCCTCAAAGGGCCTCCTTTAAGCCACTGGTTTGACAGCATTTTGACAGCATTAAGCATTTGACATTTCCAACCAGACAAAATTACCAACTACCGCGCAGTTAAGTCTCTTGACTCTTAAGCACTAGTTTAAAGAAACCCTAGACTCGTCACGAAACCTATTCACATTCCAGCTGCCAGGTCCCTCTATCGTTGGGATTCATTTCAAGCATAATCTTGTCTTTGGTTACATTCAGATGTAAAATCAAGCAACAGCCGAAAAGAGATTAGAAAATATCAATTGGAGTAAATACAGAAACAAGTTATTCGGTAAAGACTAGTATTTTCCCCCAAAAAAGCTGAAATCATGTCAACATCATCAGGGCATGCAGGAACTGAAGAATTTATAGGATGCCAACGTTTATTCAATGCACTAACACCGAGAAGAGAGTTATACAGAAGGATAAGTACCCCGCGATTCACACTTTGACAAGAAAAAACAAGTTTAACAAGGCTCCCCCAGAAGATATGTACCCATGTTACTGATGCTAGTACTTAAACTGAAACTTTCTTAAGCGAAGAGAAGACTGAAAATAATAAACACCATTAATCATTCATAATTCACAATGGAAAAAAGAAAACCGAACGTTAGAAAAATATTTTTAAGGTTAAAAATAAAAAGGAAAAAGTGGACGAAGCACCCGGTTTAACTCAAGGACAAGAAGTTCTTTAACACAATTTTACCAGCACCCACATCCTTGAAAACACAGACATGCATGGATATTCAATTAATTAATCCTACATCAAATACACAAATACTAAAGCAAGAAAAATTTAAATAATAAAACAGATAAACGAGAGTTGGAGAAGAAAAAGGTCGTTACCAGTGTCTGATGATGAAGAAATAGTAAGAGATTTGAACTGGCCCTCGATCCTTTGAAGGAAGAGCATGGCTTCCTTAAAGGGTTTGGAGAGCTCTTGCTCGTACTTGATCAGCATCTCGCAGTAAGCCTCCATGAACTGATCCAGCGCTGGATCCTCACCGATGCAGGCTGTACCACCTGCCATTGTCACAGCAGCAGATGCACACGCTTCTTCTAACCTAGCCACCACTTCAGGAGGAGCTCCAACCTGCTAGGTAGGTACGTCCACCAACTAAATAAACTATTATCACAAAATATCATGCTTCCCATGAAGCAAAATAAACCAACCGGTAAGAAAAAAAAAAGCTCAATTGGAACAGCTAAGCTAGCTTTTATCATTTTTTTTTTCTTGAAAGGGTTTTTAGTTGTTTCTATATACTTCTTTGTTTCTTACGGTATAGTGATGATTTGTCACGAGTATGAATGACTTTTTTATAATAAAAAGAACTTACTTGACATGTCACAACAGGGATCCTAACTTGCCAGGGAAAGAGTGTGTAGAAGTTAAAATAATTATGCATCATTTTCAATCACTGGATGTCCATATATTTATCTACTTTTTCACCAGAGTGGGGAACGTTGGTCAATGGATATCATGAGTTGAGTCAAGATTAAGCTTCTTTTTTTTTTCCATTTTCTTCCTCACCTTTTGACAATTGACGTAGGCTGCCAAGAGACGGTGATAGTGAGGATGGGCCATGATCTTGGCCTTGACAGCGGAAGAAGAGGAGGAGGAGCTTCCATCGTTGTTGGTGTTGTGGATGTCCATGAAATACCCTAACCCAGAGGTGTTGGCGTTGTGGTTACTGTCAAGCATGATGTTGCGGTTTATGTGTTGATGATTATTATTGCAAGGCGAGGGAAGGAATGAAATGTTTGTGTCTTCACTAGGATTAGGATTGGGATTATTAAGATTAGGATTTATTGGATGATGACCAACATGATGAGAAGTCACTAAAGGCATCATCATCATTGGACAAACCCCACTACTAGTTGTATTCTCTCCAAAACCCATAACACTAGAATTACCCTCCATTTCTTCCTCACCAATACACAGACACACCCATTCACACTCTTATCCGTTTCTCCCAAGTTATTAGTATATTATATACCACACTACTTCAAAATTAACTAGCTTGCCTTAATCGTTCATAGATACGCACACACCCTTCTCATTTTTTTCTCTCTCTAGTTTTACTTAGTTTTGCTCTCCCGGATTTCATGCTACAAGTTTCAGGCCTTTTACAGAAAAATCCAAAATAGTGAACGTGGTGGTGGCTGTAGGTTTGGTCAGTTACATGAAGTGGAAGAGGGTTTTTGTTTTCCCCCTTTGGCTTTGCTGACAAAGACTGCACAAATTTGCTTGGGAAAATGGGTGTTTAGTCTTTCTTACCGACCAACCAACCCATTAGAGAGTTCACTTGAACTTGAGAGCTGAGAGAGATTTAGCAGAGCGCACGCGGGGTGCAGAGAGAGAGAGGGAGAGGGAGCGATTAACGTAGGAGAGAAGGTGAAGGATGATGTAAATGGTGGGAGAGTGGTGCAAAGTGGAAACAACGGGGTTTTACCTTCCCAATGAAAACTCTACTCTCCCCCCACTTTTCCTGCACTGCCACTCATCACTGCGAAACAAAAGCAGGAGAGAGAAACAAAGAGCCCATTTCTTTCTTTCTTAGCAGAGATAATGATTAATAATGTTAACATCAGCATCTTCTGATTTAAGGAGGAAAAAATAAAAATAGAGAGAAAATTTTCAGATCCTAATATAAAAAATAATTATTTTTTATTTTTCAATAAAAAACAAAAAAAAATCATTATTTGAAAATTTTCATTTCAAGAGAAAATATTAACTTTTTAAATTTTTATTTAAAAAGTATTTCTTCTGATTTTTTATAAGCAAAATTATCATTATTTTTTATTTAATTATAAAAATATTTATTTTTAAATGTATTAATTATTTAATTTTTATTTATTATAAAATGTATTTACTAAATATTCACTCACTATTCATATAAATAAATATATTTATTAATTTTATTAGATTAGTTGCTTATTTTTTATAAAAAATAATGAAATGGCATATTTTTATAAAATTTTATTTTTAAAAATATTATTACTAAAAAAGTAATAATAATTTTGGTAATTTTAAATTTTAAAATTTACTGTAAATATTTTTAAATAACAATTTTTTTATGAAAATACTAATATTTATTATGTTTTAATGGAAAATGTTTTAAAGAAAATTAATTAATTAAAATAAACTCTAAAATTGAAATTAATATTTTTAATAATAATGATTACTTAAAATGTATCAATAATATATAATAAAAAGTTAATAAATAATACTTTTTATTCAAATATAATAGTAAACATATTAAACTTTATAACTTTAAATGAAATATATGTATATTGATTTATTTAATGTGTTTTGAATAATAATAAGGAGCAGGAACGATCAAATCGAGGGAGAGGCAGGAAGTCACCTTTCTATATCCTGAAGATGATGGATGACGGAATGGAGGAAGAGATGGAATCACCCTTCTCTCTCTCTCTCCCTCTCCCTTCTGTTTGGCCTTTTCTTCTCCCTTAAAACTACTGCTCCCATTTACCATTGTCATTTTTATTTTGAAATTTGTACAATTCCCAGATTCAACTCAAGAATATACATTTAACGAGCATTTAAGACTTAGTGGGGGGCAATGGAACTTGGTTTGTTTGGTGAAACTGTGGAATGTTACATAGCTAAAAAATAGAAATATTTTTGTCTGAGATGGAGCATGTATATTTCCATAATTGAGATATCCAAATGGTCTCAACCTGTGTGGAACTGGACTTGATTATGCTTACAATTCAGTCGCTGTCGATAGTATCTAATATGAGATTATTCACCATAGAGAAAAAGCACCTCTGCAGCTATGTAAATAAAGCTGCCAAAGTTAGTGGGACACTCCGAATGTCTCTTCCTCTCTCTCTCTCTCTCCCTAGCAATACCATCATAGCCTTTTATGTCATTCATAATCCCTATAATATTAATACTCCCCATCAGGCTACGTTCTCACTGTTAGGAATCGTAATCCCAATCAAGAAACGGATTATCTAAAAATTATGAAAAATGTTTATGCAATCAAGTCTTTAAAAATATTCTTATATAATTTGACAGTAATATTTTGATGGGAATCGTTGTGTGCATTGAACAGTTTTGATTATTTTCTGCCGCGACCAAAATCGATTCTAAAAGGTTGAGTTGAGGTATGGAGGTGTTGGGCGAAAAATAGCTTCTAAGATTTTTGGCAGTTTCCTATTTTGCGCGTGTTCCATGTTTTATGGCTTTATTTATTATGAGTGGCGTTAATCTTCTTTGTCACCAAATCTCTTTTGCAAGAGCAGCTTATGAAAACTCGCAAGATCTTATCATTAATGGTTTGTATATCAGCTGTGTCTTGTTGTCATCCATCATCAAACTTTTCCAAACCATACACAAGTTTACAAGCGAAAACAAAGAAGACATAAGTGATCGAAAAGAAATCAACATGAACCAAAAAATAAATAAATAAAGATATGTCAAATTGGACAAACAAGACTGAAAAATAGTTACCTGAAAAAATATGACAAATAATGTATATAGTGGGCATATTATTGATCGAACGAAAAAAAACCAGAATAGAATTATCAAATAGGACAAATAAGTCTGAAAAATAATTACCTGAAATCGGCGACGATGGTGGAATATAGTTTACATCGAAAACAAATTCCTAACATTAAGCAAATTTCTTACCCACAGAGTGTCTTACTTAACCCTTAATTTAATGTTAATTAAATCGTAAATCGTAGACTCAAATCCGTGACGTGAGTGTGATCGAGGGACCAAATAGTATCATTCAGGCTACACAAAGCTTTCTTCTTCTTTTTTCTTTTTTAAATATTTTTTCTATATTTTTTCGCTTTTATTTTTTTTTCATGAACAAAGGGTCGAAGCTCAAAATATATTTTACCACTTTACGTCACGTCTATCAACATTTCCATGATTGACATGAAAAAATTCTTTTAAAATAATAAAAGGAAGCGAAGGAAATGACTAACAAATGTCGCACACTTCCAGGTTTTAGCTCATGAAGCCTCGACCAACATTGTATTTATTACAGCTCACAGAAACATGTTTTGGATTTTAAAAATAAATAAATAAATTATGCTTCACTTGAGCAATAAAAATAAATAATACGAATAATAATAATTTTTAATTTAGCTAATGAAATTAACAAAGAAATAAAAATTTTAAATTATTATATTTACATCTTTTTATTTAAATTTCAAAAACTTATTTTTCTATCTGTATCAATCAAATAAAGGGTAAAAACCAAGTTTGTGTCTGACATTAACAAAATCTAGCTAGTATATTAGTTAGATAGTTTATATTGACCAGAATTATGTATTGAAGTTTTATTATAAGATTTTTTACGCTATAATAAATATATTTTATTTACTTTGTTTTAATTTTAAAAATTATTAAATCTAAATATTTTTATACACATGATTCTCAATTAGTCATCAAGCATGTAGAAGATGGTTTTAGTTACAGGCTTAATCAGTTATACACAATTATATTAACATTCTTGTAATGACTTTGGTTTTATAATGACTAACAGTAGGACTTATTGTGATCCCATTAAAATTATATTAACATTCTTGTAAAACTTCTTGTCATAGTAAATGACTTGAATTTGCATGTGAGACAAATATAAAAAGTTTTGTTGTTAAACATGTTATATAGAAGTAAGTCATGTAGTTACATTTCACAAGTATGGTGTAATATATTACTGGCTAAATTTATAATTTATTACGTGAATATTGGAATATTTTTGTTAATTATACTTTTAAATAAGATAATTTTTGTGTTGAATCCTTAACTGAATTTAGTATGCCTAAAATAAATAACTTCAACACTCCCATTAATAGTGATAAATTAATTTTTCACTGACATATTTTAAAATTTCTTCGTCGCATGTTCACAAATTTTTCTTCTTCTCGTAATAATAAGAGAGTATTTTTCTTCAAAATATTTATCCTTTTCTTACCAATTCATATGAATTAATATAACGAATAAATAAATAATTTTTATTAAAATATAATATAAATCATTTTATTGATTTTTGTACAAAATCATAGTAAGAAAATTTAAGACACGACACTTAGATAATAATATTGTTAAAATATTAGTTAAAGAATTAATAAATTAATGATCTTATTAAAGTTGATGTGAGTATATTATATAATATTCTTAATAAAAATAGGTTTAATTATTCATATAATTTTATCATATATAAAATAAAAATGTATCTATATTTAATTTGGTGTTGGCTAAGTCTTCAGAATATTTAAATTAAACTAAGAACGAATACATCTTTATGCTCTCCCAATCACACTTCAATAGTCGACACCGCACGAAAAATTAAATGATATGCGAAGGTTGAGACACCACCACGACTTGTATTTTTTGGCCCTCTGGTAAGGGAAAGAAAGAGATGGTGAACGTGTTTGAGGAGATCTTATTGGGGGTGATTGAAAAAATTGACATTTTTTTAATATATAAATGATTATATATATTATATTAACTTTTTATGGTGTGTAAGTGCTCAACCTGAGATGGAAGAAGATCACATTTCAAAAAAAAATAAAAATCTTTCACTTCACTTTCTAAATAAAATAAGATGATGGAAAGGTCATTGGTAATCGAACACCAAAAAATGAAATAAAAGTCGAACAAATGAAATTTATCATCTCCATAATTCTAATCATTCTTATTACTCGTATAATGTATTAGACACGTGCATTCAATACTTGTTTCAACCAAAACTGATGGTGATACATATAAATAACGTCTTATAGTCAAAGTGAAAACATGCACAGATTTCATGTGCAAGTATAAATATTGATAGGGGTCTCGTTAAAAACAAAAAATAAAACTTTGATTACATTTGGCTCTGGCCCTTGATGTCACCAAGGGATGTATATCGTAAAATAAGTAAATTTCTCTCCTTTGCGCCAAAAGGAAAACAATATTTCACTAGGCTTAATTGTTTTGGGCAAAATCAATGATTACAGGATATACTTTATTGACAGCCAAAAGATGGCTATTAGCACTGTTATTCCGCATTTTTTATGGGGCTTTAAGGAGGCAAGCGACTGTTAAGGGTGGCTTTATCTGTATTTAAGTGTGGTCATTCAAAGAAATTGTTGAATTTGACATCAATCCCAAAGATTTGGTGATTTATTTGTTTAATATTACCATCCCTAAGTTATCATTAATATTTTACTTTTATGCTGATAGATATAATTGGCCTTTCCACTTTGTAGACCGATTATTATGATTTGATTAGAGTCAATATCTATATTCAAATCATAATAAAGCTGTGGCTTACGGGGAGAAAAAGAGTAATCACCGAATAAACAATGTTGCGTCCTGTTCATAGCATGTTGGGCTGCTATTCCTTCTTCATTTTCCCTCCTTTTCTTCATGATCTCCTTAGGGAAAATTGTTCCAACCCTTTCTCTTTTTTATTTGTGATGCTTTTTTTTTTCTTTTCTATTTTCAATCTATAATACCTGACATTATGTACGAAATTCAAAGCTTTTATATTCAAATTTTATTAAGAAATTATATTCATTAGTTTATGATATCCCCACTTGAGAGTTAGTACACGATAGGGAGTAAACCTTGGAAGTAGGGGGGGGGGGGGGTACAAATCAGAACTTCATGTGTTGCCACATAATAAGATTCTCTACCAATGGGAACAATGCAATTAGTGTTAATTAATCACACAAATTCACTTAGGATGACACGTTATTAATAGAAGAATAAATGAAGAGTAAGTAGTGGTGGGTCCAAGGTACCCTTTGCCGTTGCACATTATCTGTGCGCCACACAAGATAACGGGGAAGCCCCCACATGTTAGTACTTAGTACTCTCCACCAAAATGAGTTATCTTGTTAAAGTTAATTTAATTTCACTCGGCAAGTCAGATGGCACCTTACTAGTTGACAAGTTGGTGCTAGAAATAATTGATGTTTCTTCACTGGTCTTTGGTTCACAATTTTCCAACATAAAGTAAATCTTAAAATCTTGCTTTCTCATAAGCATATTTAGCTTTTCGTTAATGGAAGGGCACTAGTTATGCCTTTTGAATCTTTTCTTTAAGATATTTTTAGGTGTTAAGATAAGTTAGTGGTTATTAGATGTTGTTCTACTGTGCGGCAATGTTTTGATTCATTCCTCATCGAGCAAAAGTTTTCTATTGGAATAGAGCTAACGTATTTTTCTATAAAATGCAACTAAGTATCATTATTATTTTATTTGTATGCATTAGATTCATGTTAATGAAAAACTAAATACATTCTCATGCGTTAAGTTGAAGGAAAGGCAAAGTGTTAATTGCCAAGCCTAGAGGGACTCGTGATCGTAAATTAGCTGAGTTGAAATAGTTTGATTTCTATAATTACCTGAACATGGAAATGTATTTCTAGTTGTGGGTATGGCTAATAGATGCAACATTCTTTTTCAAAATTCTTCTTTTGTCTCGTTCATGGCATGCCACTAGGAGCGGGGTATGGTAGCACTAGTTCATATTTGGGGCCCAATCCCAAACATTAGCAACAAAGGAAGATTGGAATGGGTGGAGGATGAATAACGAAGGTGGCGCTAGGTGTGGTTGTGGTTATCGCCAGAACAAGAATCAATTTCCACATTTTCATAATAAATTAGCTTCGCATGACTTTTAATTATTTTGAAAAGGAAAATCCCTTGATGTTCATATTACTCACTCCCTCAATGGGTTATGTTTGTAGAGAAGTGCCGTATGTGAAGAAACGAAAGCATATTTCAACAGGTTTTAAAAATATATCGTCAACCAAAAACAAAAAATTTACAATTGTTTCCATATCAAGCATGCGGGCTTTGTCTGTTCTTGTTATGGATATTTTAGTTTAGCTACTTCGGGCCTAGACTAGGCCCTGTATCGTTTGCTGCTTCATATAGCTTTTTATGGAACCCAAAAATAAAATAAAAATATCTCTGTTTTATGACATACGTTCTTCTTACATTAGAAAAATCCTTGTATACATACATAAAACTACAATTTATATCAACTATTAAAAAATTCTCTACTTTCTGATTTCACGTATTTCTCACTTTAGAAAAGCCTTACCAATGAACAAAGAATAAAAAAAAGAAATTGTTCACAAAATCGATTGTACAAAAGTAATTTTCCTTATTAATGAGACGCCAATGGTTGTAATTTAGAACAACTGAGTAATAACTAAAAATATCATATTTGTGTGCGTATTAGGCTATCAAGAGCGTCATGTGGCAAAGTAAGATAGCCGTGGGTTTTAACGCTGTAAGCCTGTTTCGTCCATAACACTCATGGCATACTTTCTTGAGGTATTAATCTCTACATTCTTTCGTTTCCCTGGTATGAACAATTTTGAGGTATAATATGATATACATGCAGCGCAATTACTGATAAGGTGCAGCTTAGTTTATACGAAGCACATCCACGCTCAGTAGACATTCAAAAACTGACAAGTCTGTGAACTTTCCAACATTTCATTTGTATTCATTCAATACATTTCAAATTTAGCCAATAGGCCCAACTGGTAGGAAGAACAACTTTCCTTGATAAAACTTCAGCAACAAGAAGAAAATAAGAACCCGGAACCCCTTTCCTTTTTGTTTTTGCCAACAACAGGATCACGTCCAAACGCTCTCATTAAAACTGTCACTATGGAAAACCCCGTCAGGTTTTTAAGCAGGAAAAACTGGTTCACTTCAATACAGAGCATTTAAGCTATAGTTAAGACCACAAAGCAAAAAGTCTTTGTGCAGCTTGCTAGAACTTCTGGATGACAACTGAATTTGCCAGTCCCGCCTGCTCTATAGTTTGAGTTTCATCAGAGAGAAGCTTTGGGGGAAAACCCATCATCTGAAGTTGATAATTCCCCGCACCGCCAGGTCTAGATGCATTAATGAAGGCTCGGACGTCACCGACCGTATGGTGATAATTAAAATGTGATATCAAGCGGGTTCCATCAGCTAACCTAAGCTGTATTGAGGTTGATGGTAATGATTGATCCACCACCAGGCCAGCAGAAGGATTTGGAGCAGTGTTTGGAGGTGTAGAGGAATCAGTTGGCTCAGGTGCTCCTGAAGTAGAGCTGCTTCCTAGAGTTCTTCCCACACCTTGAAATGGAACATGGCACTTTTCAGGTTCCTGCAAGTGCGACAAAAATGTGCCTCTAATTAATACTTTGTACACAAGATTGAACATGAAAAAATATCAGGCATAAAAAAGACCCAGATTGCTTTTCAAAAAGAAAATATTAAAAAAATTAGAACTAACAAAGAAAGGCAGTCAAATTCAACCTGATTTCATAGTAAATTAGAGAGGCACAAGTGTGACAAAATGCACTTTTAGTTTGTATACTGGACATAGTATCATCCGTAAGCAAAAAGACATGGATTGCATTTTAAAATGAAAGGACAAATCAACCAAATTCATCCTGGTTTAATAGTACATTAGAGAGACAGAAAACAAAGAACTCAAACAGAAAACTCACAGGATACTTCTCATTCCTCCTTATGAGGTTAACATTAACAGATGACCTCCTATCTGCAGGTTCTAGTTCTTTCGGACATTCAGATTTTTTTATGCTCTGCAATCAAACATAACAAGTATCATTAAACGCAAGAAACCATTGACATAACCAAGAAGAAAGTAATAGTATTATTTTCCGATACAGATTTCTGAGACATTCCAACATAGTCAAATGATGAGATTTTGTAAACAAGTTTTAGAACAATTAATTGCAAAATATACAGACTTCATAGAGAATGCCAGTGGTAGTTTGCAGTAAGTAACCCTACAAGCAAAACTTTTATAAGTATTACATTATTCCCTGATTAATGCACAGAAAATTTTCAATCTTCTAGCACTAGGGATTTTTTTTTTTTTTTGGGTCACTTGTATGTTGTTGCCTCCAGTATTTTCCCTCTTTGATAGTTCAATCAATTTGAGTAAGAACCTTAATTACAGTTACCTCTAAAAATGAGGCATTTTCAGGATCATCCAAACTCCTCAAGGGTCCATCATTTACAGTGAAACCATTAGTCCAAAAAACAATGTTGTGGACAACAGCCTCAGGTTGCTGAGGAGCAGACACTGTTTCGCCTGAGAGTAACCTACCAGTTCCAGTAAAGCTTGTTGACCTGGGTGGCTCCTGAAGTTGATCAATAGGCCTTTCTACAGCTCCAAGTTGCCTTGCTTGATTGAAAATTGCATCCACATCATTGCCTTTTGAAGGATCCTGGACAAGCATTCCACTGGAGATATACAATTGTTAAATCCAATAGAAAAGTCACAAATTATTAAACCAACTAAAGATGTCTAGAAGATATATGTGACTAATTCAGCAATGTTTATAGGTACATCAAATTTATAGTTTAGCAACCATGCTAACAGATGCAAATCCCATTTAATCTACAAAAGATTATATACCATCCAAAGACAATCTGACATACAAAATGCGAACACAAACACTTCCAATCAAGGAGGTCAAAAGTGACCTTTTCACTTAAAAATGCTTTGAAGCATATAACTGAAGCATAATGAATATATAGTTCCAAATCAACTTTATAAACATAAAGTAGCTAAAACAATCACATGAACAATGCTTGAGATCATATGAGGATTTACATAAGTCACTATAGACTTCAAAGGTAAATATCATTATTAAAGTAAGAACAAGCAAAAGTGCTCCTGAACTGGGGAGAAAATTGAGAAATGAAAGAAGGCATCATTTTGAGGAATTTTCTCCCTCATCTTTGACAAGTTAGGCTGGATTTGAATGGATTTTAAAAAACCCAACACCAATAATTGAATAAGCGGACAAAACATAAACATAAATAAGATTTTGCTGCTTTTGATGACTTAATAATCTTAGTGCAAGTTTTCAAACTTTTTGCCAAAGAATGTTAAGAGTATAATCCAAATATTTTGATTGAAGTCTAAAATGATTCTTGTAATGAAATATCTACAAAAATGTTAACCTGTAATCTGATCACTAATCTTGAATTGGACAAGATTTTCAACTATATCAAAGCAGTACGCAGTGTGGCAGGATAAGTGGGGGGATAGCATTCAAAAGGGTGAAAATAAAGCTCCACGTAACAACAGCAAAAGGCGGGAAGAAGGTACCAAATGTCATGCTTCAAACATTCAGAATCTGAAGTCATAAAAAGCTGCACTGAAGAATGATGGTGCCGCATTTTGAATTATATATAAATCATACTAGAGTTTAAAACGGTTTCAAGAACCTGTTGACAGAATTCAACATCGAAAGCATTTTGTCTGGTCCTATTATTACACCAATACCAACTTGATCATTGAAGTTAACTCTCACAGTCACAAGAGCAAGAATCGGTAAGCTAACAGAACAGGATTATGCATACCACGTCATAGCATGGAACTGATTACGATTAATTAATTAACCCAATGTAAAGGTTTCCTACACTTCAAATAAAACAAATCCCATATGGTATCAAACACCGAAAAAAAGACCCATCAACAGAACAAGGAAAACACGAACAGAATTCGGAAAGTTGAGTTTTTTAATTATTGGGTTTTGTAATAGAGAGAGAGAAACCTTTTCTCGCCGCCGGTGTAATACTCCTGAGGGTCATCGGAGTCGCTGTCGGAATCGGCGGATGGGCGGTTAAGATCGGAGAGAGTACGGATCCTGCCAGCTCGACTGGTCGAGGGTTTCGATGCTTTCTTGTCCTTCGACGCCATTGATGTTCTTACTCCAAGAGAGAGAGAGAGAAGACAAAATCTCGTTGTTTCTTTCTAGTTTCTCGTCTCCTCGCTCGCTGAATCTCTTCTCTAAATACGTCACGCTCGTCGGAGGCGCGTACACAGCGTAATCATATTACGCCGCTTAACGCTTAACCCAGGTGGCTCCTATTTGTCTTTTTAATCTTTCATCTAATGTAGGTTTAAATAATGTTTTGTTCTGTATATTTGACTTGAATGTTTATTTATAAAAAATTAGTAAATTAGTTCTCATATATATTTATTTATTTTTTATCAATAAATTTAGAGTAAATAATGTTAAATAAGTAAAAAATTTAAATTAAAAATAAATATAATACGATAATTAATTTATAAATTTTTTATATGTAAAGACTAAGTTATAAAATTTTATAAATAAATATTAACTTACAAATCTGAGTCAAAAGTATTTTTATAAAATTGTGATACAACTTTAGTTTGTATATTGATTTTGATGGTATTGAGAGAGTTGATAAAGGTATGGATGAATGAATTGGTAATTTTATTGTTAGCAACACTAATGAGAGTGCATTTGAGAATAAAAAAAGTTTTGATGAGGGACTAAGGTTTGAGGTAGGTGGGTGTCGATGTGAATGTGAGTAAGAGTGAGGATGAAAATAGTGAAGTGGTCAAAAAAATAAGAAAATTTAGTAAAAATTGTTAATAGTTAATTGAGTTTTGATGATGAAAAACTAAGAGGAAAAAAGACTCTATCCTCCATTAAACTTACACAAAAGAAGAAAAATGAATATAGTGAAATTAAAAGTGAAGGCGAAAGAGAAAGTGTGAATGAATAACAAAATCAAAATATAAATTAAAAATGTATCACAAATTTATAAAAATATTTTTGACTCAAATTTATAAGTTAGTTTTTACACGTAAAAAATTTATAAATCAGTTTTCATATTACATTTATTCTCGATTTAATCTATTACTTATTTGATATCACATATTCTGAACTTAAGGATAAAATTAAATTATATATATATATATATAACGACTAATTTATAGATCTTTTATACGTAAAAAACTAAGTTATAATTTTAAGTCAAAGCATAGGAACTTGATATTATTTAAATTTTTTTTCTGTATACAAAATTTGTTTCTTTAATTTTAGTTTTCATACCCAAAAAAGTTGTAAACAGTGTTCACACGAAAAAATATGTTTAAAATAGGCTATTCTGATATCTTGCATTTTACATATTTTAGTTATGGTATATATATATATATATATATATATATATATATATATATATATGAAATACATTTTTATTGTGGTTTTTGCTTTTTTTTTTACATAAATATTTATAAAAAAAATAAAATAAAAAAACTTTACAAGTGAAAATCATTTTATGAAATTAAATGAAATCTTTAAAAAAAATAGAGAATATAAATTAATGTTTAGTTATAAATTTTTTTATTGATTTTATTTTATATTTTATAAGTGTTTATTAAAAAGTCAATTTAAACTGAACTTTTATAGAGATTGTTAAAAGAAAGTAGCGTTTGAGATCTGAACAAAGAGTGGTTTTATTTAACTTATTATCAAAAGATAAAAAAATAAAAAAAATATATGAATAGACTGTTATATGCTAAAATTATGTTTAATATAAAAATAATAATAACAGCAACAGCAATACAATAATATTATTTTTGTATTTATTATAAATAAGTTAGTCTGTTAGGTCTAAAAAATATTAAAATAGTTTAAAGTTTAGTTTTATTAAGTAAACATTTTTAAAAAAATATTAGTCTAATTTATTTAATAAATAACCTTATTCTAATAAGAAATAGGTCATACACTCTTAACCGGTGATTCGATTCATTCCACCTTCAATTAAATAATGTATAAGAACAAGTATACACAATATCATATAGAACATTAATTTATAGATGTCCAAATAACAAAATAAAATGGGGATTGGGTTGACTTTTTTAACTAATGGAAAATATATTATGTAATAGATATTTGAACTTCAAAGAACTTTACTTTAATCATATGTTTTCTATTTCTCAACTTTTAAAGCATAGTTTGAAGATGATAGTTAGTAAAAAATGTGTACACTACGCCATCTATCCCGTCCACCAACAAAATAGCAACTTTGTAAAGATTTTGTAAAAGAAAGTGGCCATAGTTCCTTAAATTTGGTCTTAGGCTTCTTTGATATTTGAACATCATATTTTGGATACTCATAAGATATTTTCTGCTTGCCACCATCACTACCTTCGCAAAGGCGACACAGATAGATTGGGAAAGATCGGTGGTAAACTCTCGATTTCAATGTAAAAACGCACTTAATCGAATATCAACTGCCTTTAATATGAAATCCTCGTCCTGCCTAAGAAGTAAACGTTTGAAAATCTTAATAATCATGTTACATTATATTTTAACATAAAAATTATAATTTGTAATATTAACATAGATTCACGTTTTAGTTAATTTAATACCAATCCAAACATAAGATAAATAATCAAGCGATCCAATAGTTCCACGGACTGTAATTAATCGAGCTAAAGAATGATAATGCAATATCTCGCCAAAGTCTGATCAGTTCAGATCTCCTCTATCTATGATTATTTGTTGAAATCAACATCAACTTATATCTAAATATATTTCGGCAACATATGATTTTCAGGCCTAAAATACTAATTAGTGTGTTTAGAATATATTGATTGCAAAATTATATGTAGTATTTTTATTATGATATTTTAAGGTATTTTAATTTTTATATAATTTTTAATAAAAAAGATTTATTGATTTTTTAATCAAACTCTTAAAATATGGTTCATGCTTTATTGATAAAATTGAACTTAGCATCTTGTATGCAAATGATCAAAAGAATATTTATTCCTAGTTACCATGGTACACTTACATCAACAATGTCAAAGGGATCCATTAAAACTGCCTCGGTAATCGTAAAGGGGCTTCATTAGTTCACACCTCTCTTTCTATTGCAAATTATGGTATTTGCAAGGTAAGGAGTTAGAAAATTATGTAAAAGTTTGATTATCCGACTAAGCACTGGAATATTCCCTGCTCTTTCCACACCCAATTCCCAAAAACAAAAGCAAATCCTCTGTTAATTTCTGACCACACCAATCCAGAATGAAAAAGACAACTTTAACATTTTAAGAAGCCAGCAGGGATAGTTGGAAGTGATAGCCCCACCCCCCACATGCACTCATGCAGATAGAGAAAAAGATAAAGTCAGAACAGGATTAATTAACTAGTTAATAATACATACATTCTGATCTGTGATAAAGCATTTCAGGCTACACAAGGAAGGAAGAGCTAACAAAACGATCGCATTTCGTCAAGCTATCCCATTGATCAATCTAGTTTAGAATCCTAAGTCAGATACAGGTACCTTTTTCGGTTACATACAAGCACTGTTTGAAAAGATAGACTTGTACCATTCTTTACAAGGTAAATAAAAAAAGAAACTGCAAAAGAACAAAAAGTAAACTAGCAGTAAATAAATAATGATATAAGTATATATACTATATGGTATGGTGGTGCAGAATTGAGCAGTTAAAAAGGGAGAATTACAGAAGTGACTAGTGAGAGGTTACGACGCTTTTCTTGGTGAAGAGGTTGCGCAGATTAAAAAGCTTACCCCCCACACTGCCATTGGCATTAGCATTGGCACGAGCACGAATATCAGAACTGTCACTGACACGAATGGGAATGGCAGTGTTTTGGTCGCTTCTGCAGCTCAAATGATGTTTGTAACTAATGCACGTTGGAACATTCAAATTCAAAACCTTCCCTTTCGCCCCGGAGGATGCCACCTTGCTCCTTCGACTCGTGCTGCTTTCTCTCTGAGCCACTGCTTCTGGGTTCTTGGCCCGGCGAACCTGCCAAACTGGGCTGCTTCTTCCTAAATGGACTCCGGCCCGGCCCGGACTACTGGGCCACTTCCTAGACTTTGACTCTCCGCCGGAATTGCTCCGAGAACACGGCGCGCTGTTCACTTTCCGTGTTGCCGGAGCTCCGGGGAACAGTTTGGGTCGGGTACCCGTATTCCCGGCGGATCTACTCCGCGAGAATGGCCATATATTGATGTTCAGCTCTGTTGAAGTGGAAACACCACCGCTTCCACTTTTTTTCTCTTTCTTCTTAGCTTTCTCTTTGTCCTTCTCGCTCTCTTCCGCATTGTTGTTTTCTGCGGTTTTCTTGTCGCTCTTCCGAAAAATGTCCATCCACCGCTTCGACGAAGAGAACGTGGTGGCGGCGGCGGCAGAGTCGGTTATGGCTGGGGATGGCTCGGGTTCAGGGTCAGGGTCCGGTGGTGGTTCCGGGTCCCGGTTTTGTGGCGGTGGTGGTTGGGGGTTGTTTAGGAGGTGGAGGGGAAGGAGGACACCATCGACGAATAGTTCATCGGCGGAGAGAATGTTGGGTTGCGGGAAAGAGGGGTTTCGTACCATCCAAAACTCGAATTCGGGTGAACTGCAAGGACTTCTTCTTGTTCGGGTTTGGGAAGTTTTGGTGTCCATGGAGATTTGAAAGGGTGGGTGGGTTGTGGGGAAGTTTCTTTCTTTGTTATGAGTGATGAGAGCAACTCAACATACAAAGCAATAAAGAAAAGAGAAGAGTTTTTGAAGTATTATTATAACCAAAGAAGAGATAAAGGGTTGGATAGATTTTAAGACTCAAGGTTGGGTCCATTTTGTTGCATGGAAGGGGCATCTCTTCTACATAACCATGCCATTTGGCGTTTAATCATTCGTTACAAAAAGGATAATTGCTCTGTATCTAATCACTCAACCATGCTTATGCACCCCTATCCATAACTTCTTTCACTTCTGACTTTTATATATTCCTTTACTTCTCTCTGATTTTTTTATAAAATATGGTATTTTAGGTTTTAAGAAAAGGACAGTGATATAAAACAGTTGATATTTGTTAAGATGTATTATAATGTGTTAAGATATTCATATAATATAGAAGATCATTTTTTATTTATATAAATTATACTTTTAATTAATTAAAAAATAAAAAATATAGTAATTAATCTAAGAGATGATTAAATTAATTAATTAATTTTATAAGATAATTTAATATATGATTAAATATTTTCATAGATTTTGACAAGTTTATCATTATGTTATTTTTTTATTGTGTCATTCAAATTTTTTTTTAAATTTTTCACTAATATTTTTTTATTTAATTAAAGAAAAAAATTAACATTAAATTTTTTACTCATTTATCATCATCAATTTAGATTTTGAAAATTTCTTTCTTCTTTCATTTTCTTCCCTCTAAACCAGCAGAAGATTTATATATATATATACCTTACATATGAATATACAACAATAATTTTTCCTTCAAATATATGGTTTCGTTGTTAAGACTCACTTAAGAAACCCAGCTGGAAGATTGAAAAGAAAGTGGAACTACAATGGTGTAATAACATCCGTGCGCAAGCTCGGGCATGGCCAGTTTCGTCTGCTTGTGCTTAACAAATTAGGATATATATGCAGGGATCAAGAATTAAAATTAATGTCCATTGCAATCTGGAATGGCATCTTCAATCCATAAGAATGGTTTTAGTGAGACATTATATTGATCGGTGCATGTATTATGTATAGAAAACTCGTACTATACTAGTTCATACGCATTATGTTTACAAGTTCAACAAGGTGAATCACGAGTGTCTAATCTTAGTTTATGCATGTAACTCAAACTTTAGAGGAATGCAGTGCATTTTGGCCTTAAACGCACTACGTAAACATTCATAAATGATTTAAAAAATAAAATATGTTTGCCTCAACGTTTTTCCAAGTTTTATTATTCTGATGTTTTATATTTCTAAAAATGTTTTATTAAGTAGAATTAAGTACAATTTAGAGAATAAATATCCATCCAATTAGGCCCAACCATCAAAAGAGTTAATGGCTTTTTCAACCTTCCACGTCGCTACAAAAACGCGTACGCAGCGGGAACGGTTGGCACACATCATTGAGCACTGACTTCTTTAACTCCCCGTTTAGATGATCTATAAGTCATGATTATTAACGATCGTTCAATTCTTAAGTTTTAATTATAACGCGATTATTTGTCGACTCTTTGGGCTCACTGTAATCCAGATTACAGTAAGATATTAACGGATTCTGTGAAGGACTTAATATAACTGAACTTCTATCATTATCATTATTCGACAAAGTTTTGCACACAAGGAAGCGTTTCAGTTAAGGAATTATATATATGTTGCTATAAAGGTATCATAAATTGTATTTAAACCCACTGTATGTTAATTAAGCATGTTGCATAGATGTCTCTGATAATCAAGATTTAAGATAAAACTATAATAATTTCATCATGAGAAAGGATTTAGAATTGGGAAAAAATGCACAATAATAGCATAAAACCATTTAAACTTGATAATCTTGTATCCTTTTATAAAGATTAATGATAGTAATTATATAATACAATTTAATATCTGGTATATACTGTTTGAGATCGACATCATGCGACACCAACATGTCTTAATAATTGCGTGACTATGTAGTAGATGCTGATAGGAACACGAGCCCTCTTTGTTGGTTACGTGTATACAAATATAACGAATATTATTATTCTGAAAGAAAATAGAGAAAATGGTTGAATCTGAATGACACAACGAGTGCAGGCCACAATGCATGTAACGTTGCCTCTGCAGTAGAATGATGACAGATCAACAATATCATGGGACAACGGAAAAATGGAAATCAGAGTACCCAAAGTGAGTGTTGACTTTTATCCTTATTATTACACGACATATGCTCAAATAATTTCATTTGCATTTGCAATCTCAATCTCATGTTTAACATCTAGCAAGGTGGGTAAATTTGTAAAGGTTCAAAATTTCTACCATGAAGATATGTTATTCAAATATCAGTGGGAATTTTGAATTAAAGCATGCATTTTATATATGCAATAGAATTTACTATATAAAACAAATTAATCATTAAATTCAGAATATGTGATGTAAACTCTGGGATACATCAAAATCAGACGGTTATTACGGTTGTCATGTAGTGGCATAAAAATGCCTAAGAAGAAACCCAATCGAAAATGGGCTCCAGCTGAAGCCCATTCATATGGCAACTGGTTTCGTAAAATCTAAAGTGGGACCCGTACAAGTTGACAACACAAGTGGACCCCACCAAAAGGATATGATATGCAAGTGGCTGAAGCCATTGTGGCCCGTGGGGACTTAAACTTGATTTGGGAAATGAGGATCTCTATTCAATTGTTGAAAGTTTGAACTTAAAACTTGAAAACACCAAAGAATAGAGTTGAGCCTGTTAATGGGGTTTGTTTGGAGGCAAAATGATGAGCCATGTGCGGGCAAAAACAACAGTATTATTTATTTCATTAATGAATAAGGTCCCACTCCAAACAGAGCCTTGTTTATGTAGTTGTTGTACCTTTGCTACTTTTTAATTCTGCATGTAAAAACTTCACACCAGACTATTGTTTCTAAAATTACAGTCATCACACTTGAGGACCACATTACATAGAGGGTAGATTGCACATAACATCGATTAAAAATTAGCTATACATTTTAGTTCAATAACCGTGTGTTTTTTCGTGCCCATGGAAAGCATATTCATGGTCTTATGTACAAAATTATACATTTTGATGCTTCTAATTCTTAAAATTACATATTTTAAAAAAATATAGTATTTAAATTAAATATTATAACTTTATAGCTTTTGAACAAATGTTATGTTTGGTTTGGTATGGCGCTTAGAACTTTAGCTTGATTTGCCAAATTGTCAGTGGTGTATTAGTTTATTTATTTAGCGGATGATGTACAAATGCGAGGGTATTTCTTTAAATTTGAGAGGCATGCAAATGGGATCGATGTGTTGTGTTGTGCTCCTCTGTCTTTCGTTCCTTCCGGTAATTTTGTTTCCATTCCTGTTCGCATGGGTACCTACCTCAGCTTTATTACAACTGCGCCACTACACTTCAATTTGAAACGACTTCGAGGTTTGATAAAGACTTGGGAAACGTAACCAGGTTGTCTAATATTGGTTTAAGGGCCTTAGCCATGCCTTGATTTTAGTTCAATTTCATATGAGTAAGGTGTTAGGTATCTTAAATTTATATTATTATTTTCATAATAGTTGTCATAATATAAGGACCTTTATTTCTTAATCGAGGAATTCTTGATTAGTGTAAAATATATAAATAGCATATTTGATTTGTTAATCATATCTTAAATTTGATAATTATACATTCTTAAAATAATTGTCGCTTTTTATTCTTTTAAAATATTTTATCATATTAAAAATTGAATAAAGTAATTATTTATTTTTAAAAAAATTTATTAAATGAAATGAAAAATATATTTTGATGATTTAATATTATAAAAATTTATATTTGATGAGAGTGGGGGAGAGATTGAGTGTGAGAGAGTAATACGGATTTTTTTAACATAAAAATGCAAATGAAGAATTTTATTAAAATAGTGAAAGGCAAACAAAAATATCATTAAGCTCTGAGTTTAAAATCTCAAATCTTACCGGCTAGTGTAATAAATTCTTTTAGCATATAATTCTATTTTAATCAAACAAGCTTTTAAATTAGTCAAATAAAATAAGAGTTAACTAATTTATATTTTCAAACACACTTTTTATGATAACTTATATAAATACATAATTACATCGAAAATATTTGGGCATAATACGGATTATCTATTAAAATATGTTTTAGTGATCAATGCTTACTTGAAAAAAGAAGAAGCATATTTGTTATTTTAAACTTGATTTAATATCGGCAAACATCAAAGTTCGCGCAAGACTAACAAAGGTTGGATTAGGATGTCCCGAGGATAAACCAACCTCAGTCTAAAAGGCTTAAAGTGGTGAAGACTATTAAATGTATTAAAAGAGAGAACTTTAACAAACATGCATTTTTAATCTTCCTTGTCATTCATTCGGTCATATATTTTTAAGCAACTGGACAAATTGTTTAGGATTGTTGTAATTTTGCATTGCATTTAAGGGGTTTCGTTGATAGCTCTTCACTCAGATTTTTTGGTCAATACTCTCGACTCGGATGAATTTCTAAACATGATAAGAGAAATGTAAGAAAAATATTATTTTTAAGTACATTTTTTAACATATTTTTTTTATGAGTAGTTAATTTTTTGAAAAGTTGAAATAATTATAAAAAATGAATTTACAAAATGTGTATTTTAAGTATTTTAAAAAAAGAGTAATCACATAAAATACGTTAAAACAAATATTTAAAGTGTATATAATTTTACGTAACAAAAGAAGACTCCTTTAGGCAATGCATAATAGGAGTATTCATTGAATCGGATAAACTAATAAACTCGATGATCCAAATCAATGCAAATCAGAAAACGATTCAAATCGATACTTAACGGTCCGATTCAATCCAAACTGATCAAACTCAACTTGATTTGGTTCGGATAACGGATTGACATAAGTCAACCCCTAAACATACCTAATTAATCTGTTGATTTATATTGACTTTTTTTTTTAAAAAAATAACATTCACATTCAATAAAGTGTATTTTGAATTGAAACTTATTTTAAATTTGTGTATTTGTGTTAGAATGTTGTATAATTACGTTGAAATTATGTGTCAAGAATTATTCGAATAAAAATAATTA